ACTGATCTCCAGTCTTTAAACTATTATAGTGTTCTTGCTCCAAATTTATGGAAAAAATATTTTAGAATGTTTGAACTTGATGAGATCATGCGACAAAGAGAAAGTAAGATGTTTGCTGAAATCTTAAACAGGTTACGAGAAGGTAAACATACACCTGCTGATCTTCAAAAGCTGAAGGAAAGATGCGTTCAGGAATCGAATTGTCCTCAAGAAGCTCCACGCTTGTTTATTCAAAATGCTTTAGTAGACAAATATAATGAACAAGTATATGAATCATTTACTGATAATAGATATACAATTAAAGCTCAAGATAGTGTTATTGGAGCAGCTTCAGCTGAACTTAAGGAAAAAATAATGAGGCAAATACCTTATGTTCCGTTAAGAAATTCTAAACAGTTAGCTCACAAGTTAAAACTTGCTGTTGGGCAACGTACAGAAGTTGCAACAAATGTGCGAACTGATGATGGTCTTACAAATGGGGCGAGTAACATTATCAAGTTGATACAGCTCACTGATGTGAATAAACCTTCGGGTCTTATCTGGGTCCAATTTGATTATGAAGATGTTGGTAGAAAAACTCGTCAAGAAAACAGAACGCTTTATGTCAGAGAAATTCAAAGCACATGGACACCAATTAAACCTGTCACAACCCAATTTCCAGTCGGTAGAACGAAATCTGCTCAAGTTGTTAGAAAACAGTTCCCATTGCGACCAGCATCAGCAAAAACTGTTCATAGATCACAAGGTGATACTCAAACACAGATTGTTGTAAACCTAAACAGCAACAGAGCTTTTCCTCACATTCATTATGTTGCTTTAAGTCGAGTTACAACAATAGAAGGATTATACATAACTGACCTATGTGAAGACAAGATATCTGTTGATCAAAGAGTTGTCAAGGAAATGGAAATCTTAAGAACCGAACAAAGTTTGAATCTTTGTTTCAAACCACTTTATATGTTGGATCAATCTGATTTGAAAGTTTGTTACCTCAATGCAAGATCTCTGCATAAACACATTGAAGATGTTCGAAGAGACATTAATTACTCATCTATGGATATTATGATATTTACTGAAACAAGATTTAACTCCTCAGACACTGACGATATATACAACATTGATGGCTACAGGTTGTTCAGAAATGACGTTTCCCAAGGTCCAGGTCCAGGACGTCCATACGGTGGAACAGCTGTTTATAGCCGAGTCCCTTTAAAAGAAGGATACCCTTATGCTCACAACGTCAATGGAATCGAGTTTACAATTATTAAAACAGAAAGTAATCCGCATCTGAATATAATTGCAGTATATCGCTCACCAAATATTGCTATATCACGTCTACTGTCTTCACTACGTAGCGTACTTGATGAAGATTCTTCTGCACAAAACATTATAATTGGAGATTTCAATGTCAACTGGATGGTAGAATCTGATCGACAGTCACTCTACAATTTGATGGTTGTACAAAATCATTACGTACAGGCAACTGATAACAGGCTTTACAACCGACAACAGAACGTTAATTGATCATTTATACACAAATTTAATTGAAGAGGAAATTGAAACTGGTATTCTAGAAACTTACTTTAGTGATCATAAAGCAATATGGGCTTCTCTTAGGACATAGAAATAATAATTATATACCGTTCAATTAAGGTATCGCAAAGATAGCAAGCCATTGTGCCACTGCGAAAGTTATTAAGGCAAGCCATTGTGCACTCCCAGTGTTATTAAGACAAACCACTGCCCACTGCCAATGTTATTAAGACAAGCCGCTGTGCCACTGCCAATGTTATAAAAATAAGTCTCCTTGTGTGGACGATGGCTACATTTAGGTAAGTTTTCTTTTTCTCTTTCCCCCTCTCCCTTCCCTGTGTTTATCTGTTTAATTGTTTTTTTTTTCTTTTTTAGATATCTCTATACATTAACATGGTCACATTAACGATAACTTCAGTCAACAAAAGTGCAAAATAGAACAATTTTGGTATGTTGCTACGTCTTATTACTATCTAGTCATGTCACGAACAAAGCTCGGACTGTATGGCTTATGAAATTCATGTTACATTATACATAATTGCATTCACTAATACTGTTGCATTAATATTTACAGATATCAGACGTATACAATAATATGCCTTTCATTTGCTACCTGACAACATTGGTGGATAAATTATATTGAATGATATATCATCTTGTGTCAATGAATATTCGAAAGTGAAACAATTCAGTTCAGCTACCAAAGTTCACACGTCTACAGTTGCGTCGTTATGTATTCTGAAAATTCAATGTGGAACTTGAAAATTAAGAAAGATGCACAGTACTTGAAGATACAACTTGGATATTTGTAGTACGGCACAGTGTACATTGCACCTGGCTCTGATACCAAAACATGTTAAAGCGAAAGGCTACTCAACAAAGTCGCACGTACAGTACAAAGAAAAGCTAACGCGACAAGGAAGACTTGATAATTAAGAAAGATGCACAGTTTGTTGTACGGTACATTGCACCTGTTCGAATACTCATAATCGAACCAACAATGTTGTTACCTGTTATACCAACAATGGACTTGATATGCATCATAATCAACATCTTCAAACTTAAACTGGGTAGAACATGTACTGTAAAATGCAATAACACGTGTTCTATTGTCATAGAAAAGTGACTCATCTTTTAGTTTTCACTAGCTGAATGTTCGTTATTTATTCACGTTGTCATTGACCATTTTTGGAAAGCTTTGGAAATTGTGGAATGGGTTGTAATTAAATCACTGACTATAAGACTTATAACTTATGACTGTAACCCATACTCTAATTTCAATTTTGTATATACAGTAGCCATCGTCCAATATACATCCTATTTAGTATTGTACTATCTGTGTTGATTATTATTATCAAACGTTATCTATCGTTGCATTAGTTTACTAATGAAGTAAGTTTTCTATAGATGTTTCGTGTTAGAAAATCTCTGCAAGCCTAGATTTAAGCAAATATTTGCGTATAACATAGACCGATGGAGGGGTGTGCACCCCCACGTAAGCCTGTGCACCCCCCCCCCAAATGGTTTTGTACATTAGTTATAAGGTTTTATTCAGTGGTTTTATTGGCATGCAACATGTACGCGCCGCGTACCTATTTTTACTATTCATATTGATTTAAAATCTGTATGAACATTTTTATTCCCAAAATCCATCAAGTACTGGTACTGTACTATTTGGCAGAAATGGACTTTTAACAGTCTACTCTTTAACATCAAGTTTAACTGTTGAAAATTAGCCCAAAACTGTTTCTGATCAAACTAATTTCTCTTTAAGGATGAGGTCTGGGTATATTAGTTTGCAAAAAGTATAATTTGACTGAAATTTGAGTGGTAGGTCCAAGGTCGTTTTTTGACATTTTTGAAATCAACCAAAATATTAAAAATTTCATATTAGGCTGTTTTGAAGGATATGTGAATCTAATGTGCACAGCTGAAAAGTGCTGCAGAACTGTTCCTGAACAAGCTAAATTGTCTTACATATGAAGGCTGGGGTATGTTAGTTTGCAAAAAATATAATTTCTCTAAAATCTGAGTGTGCGGTCCAAGGTCGGTTTTTACCATTTCTAAAAGCTATCAGTTTGTCTGTTTTGTCTGTCTGCAAATATCCACAATTACTACCAAAATCAACATGTTCATAAAAAGGCTTGGCAACCGGGCCAGTCTGGTTAGTCTCTTTATATGGGAAAATGCTTGTCCTGGTAACTGTGATTTAATCTTTTTCAAGTGAGGTCTTGTACAAAGCTATACAGTGATATGTCTCTTATTACTTAATTAGGCTAGTTGTAGCGAGTCCCTGTTAGGGGTGGGGGGTACTAATGTCGCCAGTCTGAATTTCAAAACTTGTTATGTCGCGATTTGACGAGTTGGGTATGTTCCTGTCGTTATTTCACGTCATTTAACCATGTATGCTATTTCTTAATATGGTCCATTAACCAAAATTCGATTGCATCAACCAGCACTGTTGACTATTTCGCGATTGTGTATCAAAAACAATATATTACGAGGCGAGACATGTAGTGTTAGGAAACATAATTTACTCTACGCTTACTAACGCCTGAAAACTGTACTTTGCCAATGACATTTTGTCATTTTTAAACATTTTGTTGACATTGTTGTGGTGCTTTCACACCGACTTATTACTATTTGCGTTCAACCGGTCAGCGTTTCGCAAGCGAAACGTTACGTTTGAACCGGTAAACGTTTGAGGAATAATTCGAACATGTTTCAAACGAATTTTGAAATCTGATTGGTCCGCGGGTAATTGCATTAATTAAATGGGCATGTTGTAAAACCTGGACTGGACTGGACTTGTAAAAACTGGACTGGACTCATTTGTAAAACATGGACTGGACTCAGAACAATAGAATTTGTAAAACATGGACTGGACTCATTTGTAAAACCTGGACTGGACTCATTTGTAGAACATGGACTGGACTCATTTGTAGAACATGGGGTGGACTCATTTGTAAAACATGGACTGGACTCATTTGTAAAACATCGATTGGACTCATTTGTATAACATGGACTTGCACAAAACTATACTAGTCAAAAATAGAAACCTATTGACTATGATCACTACGACAAAGGGTGGCCAAAGGAGGTTAAATTTTTAAAATATGGCAGCCAAATATATTTTTCTTTTCACAGTATTCAATTTTAGGTTTTTCAAATGGAAGAATAATGGAAGAACAGTGTTTTTTTATTGCCTAAATGAAATGTAATTATTTTATTAAACCGGTAAGTATATATTACTTAATTTATTTATGTGTAGAGTCTGTAAGACACACCAGTCAACACAGCAGTCAACACAGCAGGGGTAATCCTAAGGCCTACCATTTTTCAAAATGGGCAGTTCTAATTGGTAAATAGGTAGTTCACAGTTCTAAAATTGAGTTTTGGGGAGAAATGCTGAACTTCCAAACGTGAAAGTGTCTAAACATTCAATAATCAATATTTAACACATTATCTACAAAGAAAAAGGAAATATTGATGAAGTGAGCGACTTATAGTTACTATACCCAGATTTCTGATTTCAAAAAATGCACCAATCTTTTGTAAACCTAAACTTTTTCCCAAAATTTGTTCTCAGAATGCTGGAAATGCCATTTGAGAGACGTCAATTTCAAAATTTTTCAGGGGGGAGAGCTATCCCCGACACGCCTAGAAGGCTTATGCCCACAACACACACTGCATCTGGAAGCAGCTATGAAATGGGCAGTTCTAAATTTTTCTTAGGATGAAAACAACTGCAATTACTGTACAGTTTATCTAGAATGATATATTCTGTAGCTATAGTATCTAAGGATTAGGAATAAGTACATTTTATAATATTTCTGCTAGTCAATGTGGTTCACCGCGCCTGCACCATTGTCTTCAATTTTACCATTATAAAACTAAAAGTCAAAGTCAACTAGTATTGGCTGCTTAAAAGTTTTTTTAGGCTACTTCTTATACTTGTGAGGAATGAGAATTGTTACAGTGATACTAACTAGTGACTAGTGCACACTTAAAGTGCCTATACGACTTAATTTTTTATTTGATATTTCGATAGATCATAAAAAATTAGCTTATATATGATTTTATAGTTTTTCAATTACTCTTTTCGTTTAGAAGATATTTTGCGGCTAAGTTAGGAAAAGTTGTTCCACTTCGGTAAAAAACCGAGAACGTAATGGGGGAGTCTGGAAATGAGTCGGTGACGTCATTTAAGAAACAAGATTTATCTTGTTCTAAATTTGTAGTAAATACGTATATATGTACTACCAAAAAACACTACTATCATGCCGGACAGGTGCGCTGTATATGGCTGCTCAAATCAAGCAAGTTTAGAAAATAATGTTTCTGTGCATCGGATTCCTTTTCTAAACGATGACAGAGTTGAGGCGAAGAAGAGAAGGAAGAAATGGGTTGATTTTGTGATGACAACTCGCGAAAAGTGGAAACCCACTGTAAATTCGGCTGTGTGTTCTGAGCATTTTCCTAAAGATTCTTTTCAGAGAAGATTTGACTTTGAAAAAGTATTGTGCAAGGCTACTTAGGGATGAAATCGGAATTTTAGCTTATCCCACTCTGCATCTGAAACACAAAACGAAAAAAGAACCTTTGTCACGCGATAAAAGAATGGTGAGTATAAAATGTAGTACATATATTATTGTAAAGCTTTGTATGATTTTAAGTCTCGGTTGACTTTTTAATACTTGTTGTATTTTTCACAGCAAAAAAGAAATGTCATAACCAGCCTCGCCAGTCACTCAGAGCAACCGCATACAAAGAAGTCGAAAGGTGAACAGCATCCCACCGTTTGTTTTGATGAAAATGAACATCTAGACGAATTTTGTGATGAAAATTTTCTTGTGGAAGGACCCTCGGTTAGTTTTGTGTTTGTTAGTGTTTGATTTGAGCAAAGTGTATAACATTTGAATTAAAACATGTTCTGTTTATCGCTCACAGACACAGCTCAAAGACGTTGAAGTCCAATGTTGCCTTGTCGATAAGTCGACTCGACATTATAAAAACATGTGGGCTACCGCAAAATATAAACTTCAACGTTGCCGAAATGAACTCAAGAAATGTAAAGTTAAACTAGGTAAGACGAAATTTATTATATGATTTATGTTTACATGTAATTAGCCTTTTTGCAAGAGTTGACTGACTTTTCCGAGCCAACTGGCCTCGATATATTTTTAGCCAATTTGTTATTTATTGAAGGCGAGATGAATATTCGAGAATTGAGGTGCTTGTTTCACCATTTGTTTGTTTCACCATTTGTTTGTTTCACCATTTGTCCGCTGTGCCTGTGGCTTTTTTAGATTGTTTTGGACTGCCGGCTTTTTATGATATTACTAAAAACGCGAATGCAACTTTTTCCTTGAAAAACGGCTAACGTCATGTTTTCACGTCAAAGCACAGCGGAAATACGACTATATTCTTTTTTGCCGGAAATTTCAAACTATTATTAGCTGTTATCAACATAATTTCTCATGAACCAATCAAATGTCGAGCGACATTCTCATGATGTTGATTTCAACACGTTATAAATATTGTAGTCGCATTCCTGAATGTTTTGACGTGAAAACAATGACACGTTTTAAAAAGAAAAGTATCACAATATTCGCAGAATTGGTAATATTTCTATTATTTTTCAAGCGTTCTCAATTACATGGTAGGATCAAGTGTACGCTAACTGAAACATTGTACTGTACAGGTTATATTGGGTGTGCAAGCGAATCAAGCGAATCGAGTTCTGATGATGAAGCTAATAGTTGGTTGGACAAGTTCAATAACTTTATGGGTGATGTTTGTTTGGGACACTCGAACATTGTGCTTGCAGGAGACTTCAATATGCCACATGTATCATGGGATTCGCCAGAGAAAACATCAGGTGGTAACGAAAATACCTTCGTAGAACTGCTCCATGACCATTTCTTGGAACAACTAAACACCGCGCCTACTAGAGGTAACAACACGTTAGATCTCGTTCTTACCAATATTCCCAACAAAGTCAAAATATGTGAAATTTTGTCTCCAACTCAAGCAGAACTTTTCACTGATCACAACATTATTGTGTTTGAACTTTCATTGTGTCATAATCAACTGCCAAAGATACGCAGAACTGTCTATAATTACCGTCAAGGTGATTTTGCTGGCTTACGAACTTCCCTTGAATGTCTAAATCTGGATTCCCTGATTACAACTGACGACAATATTAACCACGACTGGCAACAATGCAAGAAGGCGTTCCTAGAAGCAGTATCCCAACATATACCATTTACGAGAGTAAAGGGTCGAAACTATGTTCCGTGGATGAATTCTACAATTCTACACAACATCAAGAAGAAAAACTCTCTCCGCCTCAGAATTAAGAAATCCCATACACCAACTGAATATCTCGTTGAAAAGTTCAAAACCCTTCGTCGTTCCATCAAGCGCATGTTACGTAACAGTCGCTCCAAATATTTCGACTCTATTTGTTCCAGCCGTGGGCTTAATCCCAAACGCTTCTGGTCCCTGTTCAAGCTCAATAATAAGACCCGGAACATTCCTCAAAAGCTCTTGGTGAAAGTAAATGAAACCAAAAGAGCATTCGCGGGAAATCCAGCAGATATTGCTACCCTCTTCAACAACTACTTCACATCTATATTTACCACTGATCCAAATATCGAAAACTGCAGCCCTGAAGCTCTTTCATATCAGTCTAACAATACTATCATAGAGGACATTACCCTTTCGGAAGCCGACGTTTTCTCCGTATTGCATAATCGCGACATTAATAAAGCTCAAGGTCCAGATGGGATTCCTGCACGTTTGTTAAAAGAAACAGCTTGCCAAATTTCTCCGTCACTAACTGTCTTGTTTAATAAATCTCTGAGCACTGGCGTGTTACCACGCGACTGGAAACTAGCAAATGTTGTTCCCGTCCACAAAAAAGACAACAAAGAGCACGTAGAAAAGTATCGACCGATTTCGCTTCTTTCGCTTATCTCGAAAGCATTGGAAAGATGCGTGTTCAATAAGATCAAAGACCACGTTTTGGAACAGATTAACAACGGTCAACATGGCTTTGTTCCTCGGAAGTCCTGTGTTACACAGCTCATTGAAGTCTTTGAGTATATTGGTCGTGAGCTGGATCTTGGGAAACAAGTTGATGTAATCTACTTGGATATGTCCAAGGCGTTTGATCGAGTAAGCCACATGCAACTGTTGAAACGACTTCGTGATTTTGGATTCGGTGGAAATATTCTAAAGTGGTTTAGATCTTACCTCAAGGACAGTCGGCAGCAGACTACAGTACTTGGTGCAACATCATCAGCACTACCAGTAACCTCCGGAGTTCCACAAGGCTCAATCCTTGGACCTCTGCTATTCCTATTATATCAGAATAATCTCCCCAACTCCATCAACCACTCGAAGATCGCGACGTTTGCTGACGACACAAAGATTTACAAGGTGATAAACGCGAAGGCTGATGCATCCGCTATGGAGAATGATCTTGCGAACGTCCAAACCTCCTCTGCCAATGCTAATCGTCTCCTCAACACAGATAAATGTAAGACACTTCGAATTACTAGAAAACGCAACAAAATCGACCATACATACAAATTGCACGATTCCGCTTTGAAAACCGCAGATTGCGAACGTGACCTTGGCGTCTGGACCTCCTCCACCCTCACATGGTCCAAACAAGTCCTCCACCAGTGCACCCAAGCCAACAAATCCCTCGGGTATATTCGACGGTCCACGATCAAAGTCAAGACCATCTCTGTTCGTTGGACTCTATATCTTACCCTCGTTCGTTCCCGCCTCGCATACGCGTCCCAAGTCTGGGCTCCACAAACTGTTGACCTCATTAAGCGTACAGAACGCGTTCATATTGAACCTACCTTTCTTCTGTGACATTAGCTATAACCATCGGCTCGCAACATTGAATCTACTACCTTTGTGTTACTGGCATGAGTACCTAGACATATTGTTCCTTTTCAAATCACATCATGACATTATTAACCTAAGCAGCGACATACTACCATACCCTCAAGATTCAAGTCAACGTACCCGTTCTACAAATCCTGACTGCCTACAATTTCAGACTTCAGCATGTAAAACATCTACCTATCAAAAATCCTATCTAATAAGGACTGCTAGAGTCTGGAACACACTGCCAAGGGATTTAGTTACTATTAATGGCATGGCAACCTTAAAGGAGTTTAAAAATAAGTTGTATATCTATTATAAAACAGCATTAGATAAATGTTATGACGTTGACGATCCACGAACATGGAAAACGGTTTGCTTAAAATGCAATCAAGCTCGCGACCTTACAAGGCCGATAACGTGTTGTTTTTAGATTTTAATAGTTTTCAGAAGTAGCTTTTCGCATTGGTATCTATGGGCCTATCCAGGGTTTTGCTGAAGGTTTAGGATTGTGAGGATTAAACGTCTTCTGATTCAGTCAGCTTCCGAAACTAGAAGTGGTCATGCGGGTCGCAATGTGAAAAGTTGAATCTGATATAGTTCGTTAACTAGAAAATACATGCATGCAGAAACCCTCGCCTTGTTGACAAAACCATTTTATTTTCCGAACGTGAAGTATTTTAAGTAGTTGTCATGGTAACACGATAATTTTTTAAGACTATTTTTACAAATGAAAAATCCCCTATAAATATCACTTTTAATACAAAATTATCAATTTCCTAAACATATACATGTTAGGTATGTTATTATACGTAATATAAGCTTGAATTTAAGGTAAAATTCAACGACAAACGCTTCGCAAAACGTTTTAATTAAAATGTTCTTTTACTATAGAACTAAACTGCCTTTATCCATAAACTTTGAGTTCGAAATAAAATGATTCCAAATTCTCCCATGCAAATAACTTTGCTTAGTATAATAAAAAGTGTAATCAATAAAGAAACACTGAAATAATACGCTGTCCTGTTTCATATTTATACACAACGATCGGCTTTTAAAGTAATTACAGTAGGTATGTTATTATACCTAATATAAGCTTCAATTTAAGGTAAAATTCAACCACAAACGCTTCGCAAAACGTTTGAAAGTGTTCCTTTAATATAGAACTAAACTGCCTTTATCGATAAACTTTGAGTTCGAAATAAAATGATTCCAAATTCTCCCATGTAAATAACATTGCTTAGTATAATAAAAAGTGTAATCAATAAAGAAACACTGAAATAATACGCAGTCTTGTTTCGTATTCTATATACGCAACGATCGGCTTTTAAAGTAATTACAGCCGAGATTACAGTATATTAATAAAAGCAAACAATGCATCAATATTTAAAACAAACTTACCTTCGTTAACGTCGGCACCTTTATGTGCCTTTACTTCCTTCTTTTAGCAATCCTCTTGCCTTTATTTCATCAAAAATCCTTTGCAATTTACAAAATCTTGCAAAAATAAAATATATTTGCAAGAAATCATCAAATCAATTTCGCTGTCGTCAATCGTCATGCAGCCGTTATAATGCCAATTTTAAATTGGACCAATCAGTGTTGCCTATTCATTACAGTCCGCTATATTATGAGATCAGTGAGGATGACCACCCACCGAAACACGCACAGTGACCCACGCCCGCGATATTTGACGAACTTTAGACTTCGCTAATGCTTTCGTTTCCCCGAGTGTAAATAGCCGGGGGGAATTAGTACCCTCGCACGGCGCTTCGCGCCGTCGGCTCGGGGATAATTGATTTTTCTATGTACGTATATAGTGTATTTGTCTAACATTTAGGGATCACAGTAATTGGCGCAAGCTGTTGCGATTGCCCTGCCAGTTTTTGTGTTAACGTTAATTGTTTGAATCTGGCAAAGTTAATAAATTAAATTAATGAAGTGCTTGGATGCGAAAATGGCTATGACTCTGAAAATGACTATGAATCCGAGAATGACTATGAATCCGAGAATGACTATGAATCTGAGAATGACCTGGTGTATGAGAATGAATCCCCGTATGACACTGAGGATGATTCACAGTCACAATCAAGTACTGAATTTGATATCAATTCTGACAGTGAGGAACATTACAAGAGGTAATAGACGGCCGGCCAACTTGACAAAATTCGCTTCAAAAAACCTTTGATGGCATTTTGTGTTACAAGCAAACAAAACATATAGACATATTGTTTAGACACTTACCTAACTTATTAGGCCTGTTGGCACGAAAGATTTCGCCTTTGAAGCTCAAATTTTTACGATTTCTGCACCTCTCGAAAGCGCGTAAACTACACAGGAAAAATGGCGGGAAATGATCATTGGGCTTTCCCCAGCTCCCGAAATAACCAATCAGCGCTTGCCTTCAACTTGCGAGTGTTCCCTTGTTGCCTTGACAACGACAAACTCGAAAGAACTTTGGTCTTTTTTTTCACTGTTTTCAACACGAAATACACTGTAAAAAGCGAATTTGTATATAAAAAAAAAACCCAGAAAAGCAAAGACATCAAAGAATACACAGTAAAGTTTGTATATATGTTTTTTTCTACTTATTTTAATAATGTAGTTCATTAAAAATCACTTCAATATTCATAGTTTTTTATGGTACTACTTGCTTATGAATCTTTCCGCTTTCACTTTGATAACATTTACAGTTGTCGCTTCAAGTAGTTTATGTGTTCTTTCCAACAACATTAAGCAATCTTCTAATCAAGTCGCCAATAGAAGTTTTCCTTCGGATATATTTTTTTATGCAGCAAAAATGAGTTATGAGTCTAGCTCAAAACGACCTTTATATCCGAAAATAGATCCAATAACTGTCCTTAAAAAGGTTAAGAGAGATTCAGAGATTTCCAAGTGTTTCTTTTGCGAGGGCAGTGAGACTGCAGCAGGCAGTGGCTTGAGTAGTTTAAACTTCCAAAATAATATGGACATGAACTGAATAGTCTGAAATTATTTCGCCATACGTGTAGCAAAACAACATGCACTCAGAAAATCATCTTAAAAAGCCACTGCAAACACAGAATTTTAAAAAAATTAACTGTATATTTGCTATATCAATTGTCAGTTTATCCTTGTTCCAAATACTTGAAGTTTATACCAAATTATAGACCACTCATAAAGCATACAGTATAAGCATGAACGAAATTAAATATAAGCAAGAGTCTTTCATTCAATTCGAATATTTCAACTTTTATGTATTATACAAAATTCTATTTCAATTCTTAATTGATTCTATATTGTCGTTGCAATTTAATAATTGTGTTTAAGCCAACAGGGCTAAACTAGTCTACGAATTTGTATTGTCTACCTTTGATAAAGTACATAGACTAATATGGATGAAGCCCATTTTCGTCGTCTATCGATCCAGTTTTATCAAACAGTGTTCTGTCGGAATGAACAGCGAATTATCGCAATAAAAATTCATTATTTTATAAACAGACAGTAATACATGATAAGTAACGTTATTATAAAGTAATATTACAGTAACTTACCTTATTTCTGTAGTCTTGTGTTACTTTTAACAGCAAAAATACAATAGTTTTTATTTGTTTACCTTCGAGGCATGACATTTTGTTAGCGCTGATTGGTTAAAAGAAACTAATCAGAACGCAGGTGACCAATCACAATTTAGAACTTGTTGCGTAGCAACAAAGAAGTGCATTTCACAATGGCGAACAATGTATTTGATGGCCGCGAACTGGCAGTTGAAAGCCTTCGAATATCTCCGTTAAAACTCTGAATCAAAGGTGCCAACAACCAAAATATTAAAGATTGTGTCTATTGGAAATTATCTAGCATTGTTGGCTGCTTGTAACAGAAAATGCCATCACCGATAACAATTTCGCAAGTTGGCCGGCCGTCTATAATAGTTGTTTGGAAGTTAGCTTCATCCCACCAAAATTTCTAATGAACCATTCAAAAAAGCATCCATACCTCCCACACAGATGAAATTGGAAGTTAACCCACCCCCTTGGATATCCTAATATACATTACTATCCCCCCACCGGACAGCAGAAATTTCCTCTGTGGGGAGAGTGTGGATCTTTTATGTAATGTCCCAATTGTAATTTTTGGCAATCAGTCACAGTAATGAGGTTTTCCAACCAAGGGGGGGGGGAACAAATATAAATTAGGGGGGGCAGCATGTCAAATTTAATAGTGGTTAACTTGACATTTCATTCTTTCCCAGGTGGGTAATTTTGCCAGGATGGGACCTGCCCCCTCCCACTCCTGTGTGACACTACATCACTGATCAGTCTGTAATTGATCAGTTCGTGTTGAGCTTACTGAATTGTTTTATTATAGGGTGTTTGCAACAGACAACAATTTAAGATCAGAGCCAAAGTTTATTGTGTTTTTTACACAATTATTTTTAAATTTTGTCCCAATTGCAAAGCAGAAAATCCTGATGTTGAGGTTCACCAAAATGGTACTATGGCCAAAGTTAAATGTACCTGTACCAACCCTAAGTGTAACAATAAGAATTTCACGTGGACCAGTCAACCCCTTATTCCTGGAACAAGATTACGAGCTGGAAATTTCCTGCTGTCTTTTGCAATTATTGTTGCTGGAGCATCTGCAACCAAAATCTAAGAGTCTTACAACACATGGGAGTAGCTTGTATTTCACTATCTACATTTTTCAGTCACCAACGTGTAAGTGAAATTTTTAACAATATTGCTTGTGTGTCAATTAATTACTGTCAAATGGTTAGTTAAATACAACCATTTTTAATTGCCAATAGGAACTTCAGATAATGCTGGATGTGATGGTACTGACCTGAATACACAATTCCAGAAAGTACCGTATGGTACATTGGTTATTTATTCTCAGATTCATGATTGATATCATATATATTTTATCTTTCTACCTAATTGTGACGTAATTGTATGAATTAGGTATTTTACATTAAATATATAATTTATTATCCAGGCACATGATTTCATGAGCATGTCACAAATAGCTGAGATAAACGGTTTTAGGCCAACTGGCGTAGCCAAGGTCTGTACTCCCATACACTCCGGGCAGAAAACGAGGGAGGGGGGGTGCAAAGTGTAGAATAACAATAAAAATATTTTTTCCTTGGTTATTATTTTCTGTCAGCACATGTTTCAGAATGTGTGAAATGCTGTTTTATGGACCCTAGTAATTCAAAATTTCAACAGGGGAACAATGTCCCTTGTTGCATCATATTTTCCTGTTATCATTCTATGTCTGTTTTGCCCCTTCCCCCCCAAAGTCAACAACCTGGCAACGCCACTGTTTGGGCAGAGATCTGAGATCTTGTCTCTCAGATCTCTGCCTATTAAACAGTGGCGTAGCCAGGGTTGACTTTACAATTAGTTTATGGAAGCATGCACTGAGTGTGATTCACAACCTGTAATCCCCCTAGCTGTTGTCTGTTGAATTTATCAGTGTTGAAACTAGCCTGGAAACTAGCCAGTTTAGTTGAGGAAACTAAATGACAAATAGATAGCAGTGTATATTTTGATTGATTGTTAAATAGTAGAAGTAATTTATATTATTCTCATTCTAGGAAAAATTGTTTCCTGCAATCCTACTACACTGGAAGAAATACCAATCATGTATGATTGAACAATTGAAGTCTTCTGGGAAACAACTTGTTATTGCTGGTGATGGGAGACATGATTCAATGGGGCACAGTGCAAAATACTGTGCATACTCAGTGTTTTGTTGCACTGTTCCCAACATTATTGATTTTTCTATTGTGCAGGTAATTTGATCTTAATTTATGCTTTGTGTTTCATGATAACATTGGTTTGCCCCTCTACCCGCAATATTTGGCAAAGTGTCTGCCACTGGTATCAACTACTATAATTGTCTTTTTTCAGAAAAATGAAGTGGGAAACAGTCCAGCAATGGAGTATGAAGGTTTCAAAAGGTCTATGGACAACCTCCTAAAAAGAAATATTCCTATATCTACATTTGTATCTGATAGACATACATCCATCGCCAAGCATATGCGGGAAAAGCACAAAAATATCACTCATTACTTTGATCTTTGGCATTTAATCAAAAGTAAGAACAACCAAACTTTATTAGGGTTCAGTAAAGCAATCAGATCATGGATTTAAATACATAAATAACATAGACTTAACTATTTAGCAACAACTTAACTAGCCTAATTCTGCCTATACGTGTCTATATTTCACCCATTGAATCGCATTGTGCAATGATGTGCCCTACTTTATTATTTTATTCTGTCTATTAATTAATTAAACGCCAGATGATATACTCATCAAGGGGAAAGTGCCTGGCACTTAATGGTTACCTATTAACATGTCTTTTTCAATATGCCCCTTTTCATTACTTTACTGTAATGCCAGGTTGTACATACAGAAATTGCTAATGCTACTTGTATATTCCACACATTACTATACAATAAATATCACACACATCCTTTCTTTTAGAGGTGTCCAAGGTATTGAAAAAGATTGAAAAGGAAAGTGGATGTGAGGCAATTTCACAATGGATAAAGCCATGCACCAACCATTTGTTTTGGAGTGTGACAACAACATTCAGTGGGCATGGATTGGTAATGTTAGCAAAATTCAAGTCATTTTTCAGCCACATTATAAACCGTCACAGTGAACTTCCTGATCGACTTTTTACCAAGTTTGCACATGATTCAAATATCCAAGATCGGAAATGGCTTGATGAGGGTTAGTCAATATGATGTTAAAAAAAGGATAGAAGTGTCTATATTAATACTAACTTCACCGAAAGAATATTTTGCTTTCCCGAAACCTTGTCTAGTACCGGTAATGTCTATAGATATCACATTATACTTAGCAACTTATGCTTTGCCTTTTAGATTCCATTACCTACATCAAGATGCATGCAGCTTTGACTAAGCGAAGTTTGGTACCTGGAATAAAAAAGGCTTCTCCACTAGAGCAGACTAGTTGCCTTGAAGGCTTTCATTCGGTATTGAATCAGTTTTCACCCAAAATGCTAAGCTACTCGTACCCTGGGATGTTTGCAAGGTAGAGTGAATGATTATGAAAACTGTTATTTTTTTTAATTAAGAAATAAAGCAAACCTAAAATATTCCTGTTTTAGACATGCCCTGGCAGTAATTCATTTTAATATTAACTTGAAGAGGTATGTGAAAGAAATCAATGGTGTCAAACAAGTTAAATTAGTATATCCTAAGTTCAAAAATGGTGAGGCCGTTGTTAGGAATGTTACAGTAAAACCAAATTTTAGTAAGCAAAGCTTTTGCACATAAACAGAACATTGAGGCTAATTCTGTGAACCACCTTGTCAGATATTGATGACTATTCAGGATTATTGTCATTCTTAAAACTACTGTAATACCCAAATAAGAAGATTTTCTGGAATCTATACCACCTCCAGCACTGTTAATAGAAATTAAGCAACAACCAGTCACCAATGTTTATGGAAATATTCTATGAGTTGTGCAACTTGCACTGCATCCACATATTCTCTGGAGAATCTACACCCTCTGCAAGATCTGACCTTGCCAAATTTCAATTTTTGTAGACTATGTTGAAGAGATATACCAGACAACCCTATGTGCTATTAGATATAATACATTGAATAAAGCAGAAAAAGGTCTGAAATTAATGACTCCTTTGCCAATGAGCAGCATGCTAAATAAGCAGTCAAAGGATGAGGCAATCCAGAAACACAGTGCCAGAAAGGCCATGACAACCATTGATGTACCTCCTACTAATCCAGGTACAGTATGTATGACAATTAAAACTATCTTCAGTTTAGGAATGTTTGGTATGAAAAATTTCCGGTATCGGTATACCGAAAAAATTATACCGATATTATCGGTATACCAGTCTTCCTGAAGGAAATTGAATAATTCTAAAAGGGAAAACAATCATTTCGAAGCTGTTTCGAACTACACATACTAAATGTAAAATCTCACTGAAGTGGAAATTCTAAATCATTGCAGTAGAAAGTTCTTTGAATTGCCATTCAGTAGTAAAATAAAGGTTATGGTTTTGCCATATAGTTGGTAAATTTAACACGGTATACTGAAAAATTCTGGTATATCGGTATGGTTGAATATCCGGTATCGATATACCAATATTGATTTAATACCGATATTTTCGGTATATCGGTATACCGAACAGTCCTACTTCAGACTAAAATAATCTAACATTAGACAATGTCAGTAAATGAATAAAATAGGCATATTGCTGTGACAATTTTTACTGTAAAGAGGGTCTGAATGGGGTTAACTGACTACTGACATTTGCCTGAATTTTTGACTGACAACTGACAAAATGTCCTAACTGACAACTGAGAAATAATGACAAAACCATGAGTCAGCTTTTTTGCAGTAACTGACTACTGACAGCTTGCAATATATCGCACTGACAACTGACTTAAATTTTAGCTGACAAATGACACCCATAGACCCCCATTAAGACCCTCTGTAAAGTTAGCCATTGTTCGAACCATATTCGGAACGTTCAGTATGTGTACCCCAAATTTCTTTTAACAGAAACTCATTGCATAGATACATAATAGAATATAAATAAATATTGTTTTAATTATAACTACATCAACTATATATTCTTTTTTAAGCGTTTGACTTTGATTTCATAAATAGTCTTAATCAAGTGCTCCTGCCATTTCAAATATTTAAGGATGAGTGTCAGGGTCATGCATTGCAGACTTTTATTATTGTCAGCAAGAAATGACGATAAAAATTATCTTGTTTGGTTCATTTCCAAAAAAAAATTATGTAAACGTTCTGAGCGGGGATTCATAAAGAATGGTTTAAATAATTGACGGATTAAAAAGACATTTCCCGATCAGTAGTCCTAGTCGGCCCATGAAATGGATACCAGCAGGAAAGGAATTTGCACCTGCAATGCATGATCCTGACACTCATCCTTTAATTAAACATGTTAAACTATTTGACTCCTTCTATTTCGTACTTTAGTACAAGAAGCTCCAGTCAGCCAGGATCAAACAACAGGAAGAGCAAAACCACACTGTTCCATTTGTAAACAACCCATGAAAGGTCATAAAAATGTTGCTAATTGCCCAAAAAACCAGAAGTAACTGCAATGGCTAAGCACTCCTATGGCCTGTATGGGCAGAACTGATTAATATACATGTGCTTACAAACATTGTATTAGCAATAATTTAAACTTTTACCATATATTAACTTTTTATATTTCGTCTTCCTCATATCCAACAAAGTTATCATCAACCACTTTAAAGGTTGTACGGATGGCATGGTATGCACATGCAGGTAAAGGGATTCTTTTGTCACGAATGACACCATGCACCATTCTTGTAAATTGTCTATATGAGACACAACGAAGAAACCTGTGCAAGTAAAAAAAGTACTAAGTAAACTGAATGCATTTTATAGGTATCAAATGTAGATATCAGTCAGTACCAATTGTATCAATGCCCCCTTTTAGACCAGTTCCACCAGGATTGGGTAGATTATACATTTTTCTAGCTCGGGGTAGCAAGTGTATGGGTGAATCACACTTATATTACTTTGGCTATGTCCCAAAAGCCATATGCATTTCAGTTAGCAATGAATTTGCAGTCAATCTTATAATAAAAGGTATGGTTTAGAGACTCAATCTAAGAACAATACAACTCATGTATGTTTTTGTCTTGGTCTATCCAAAAATTTGGTCCTTTCCCTGAAAATGTTTCTTATCACATGTGTATTGTGATTTTACCGAACTCACTAGAAACAATGTTTTGGCCTGGTTATTCCTGTGTAACGTGAAAGATTGGTTAGTTTATGAAAGATCATTATTAGTGGATATGACAAAAATACAGCACAATACTGTACACTTGATGAGCAAAGACCAAATTCTTTCATAAGTTACCTATCCTTACAAAGATAATGAGTTCCAATTCAGTCATGTTTTCTATTAACTTTGATCTTATAATACCTTTCTTCAGCACCAGTTTTCTGATACTTCCTTTCTTGGCGTGTTTTGAACAAACCAGCTGACAAATGTGGACTCCAAGCATTTAAGTAAACTGCAGCAAAACCTGGGTGACCTGTAATGCATATTGGTTCTTCACAAACAGCTTGTATAACATTTTCTTTCTGTAAAGCAGCCAGGCATCCTTTAACTTCCTTGCAACACTTACATTTTTTGCATTTTTTAAAAACTTGTGTTACAGTTCCCACATTTACACCTAAAAAAATATATACGTACTAAATAAATCTCAATTCATTGTTCTATGCAAGTGAGCTATAAAGCAATATTTTGTCAAATAATACTTTTATAAACTAAGCTGGTAATTCTTTATACTATACTGTATTACAAAAGATACAAAAAGTGACTATTTTGCCGGCACCTGGCACGTTTTTAGCTTAGATTTCATATTGAAAAAATATTTAAAAATATAACATTTATTAAAATTGATTTTTTTCTGTGTTGGTGTATTAAAAAATGTACTTATGTGAATATGATGCTTGTGATGTTTAATACTCTGAGTATGTACCCACACCGGGCAAGCATGAAAAATATGCCTGACCATGGTCACTGGGCCGGGAATCAAACATACGACCTTTGGAATACTAGCCCAATGGCAATGCTCTTCCAACTGAGCTACGCGGTCAGGTCGGTTCGAGTATGTGATACTTCGGAACAGAATCTAGAATTATTAAAATTCTTACCGTGAATTAATCGGTGTAAGTCCCTCGAGCCGTTTCTGATACTCTGCCATTTGCCTTTCTTCTTCTGCTTTGTTTTTTAAATATTCATTTAACCAGATCTCATCTGCGAGAGGTTCGTCCATGTAAACATTGGTAAAGTTACTAATATTGTTCGTGTCCGCCTCAGATCCGCCATGTTGGAAATCGTTTTCCACTTCTAGTTCTCCTTGTCCCTCATAATCCTCATAAATATTTCCAAAAACTTCAGTTTCATACTCTGAATTTGAGCTAGAACCTGATTTTGACATTTTTAAGTTTACTTTTCTCTTTTGAACAGCAAGTATTACTAGTATTTACATAAGACACAACACATGTTTTAGGAATTTAGCCTGCGTAGAATGTTTTGACCTCGACACCCTTTCTTAAATGACGTCACAAGGTGGCTTGTTCCAGGCCCCTAGGTTTGTCAGACTTTTTCTGCAAATGGCTATGTTTAAAGGCGTATATCTTCCAAACGAAAAAGATAATTGAAAAACTGTAAAATCATATATAAGCTAATTTTTTATGCTCTATTGAAATATCAAATAAAAAATTAAGTCGTATAGGCACTTTAAGTGTGAATAAGGTAAAGTATTTTTAGTTTTTGTGATACCGTATTCCCTCTATATTATTCTTTTCTTGCCCTTTGAGGGGGAGGGCTTATTTGAGAGGGGCTTATTTAAGAGGGGCGCATGCATAATTTCTTGGTAAAATTATATGATAATTTCCCTCCAGCACAAAAAATTGTGCGTAAAACGACTATGTATTCTAACATTTTAACACAAGGGTTTTAATTAATGAGATGTTGAACTATATATTTTTCAACTGTTAGGCTATATATATGTTTTAAGATGTTCGTGAGATACGTCTGACATGTATGATGCGTTAACACATATTTTGTATTAACCTGGGATAGGGCTTAATAAAGAGAGGGGGAGCTTAATAAAAATCTTCACCTAAAAGGGGGGTTATTAGAAAGTGCCCACTTTGGGGGGGGGGGTAAATAAAGAGAATATGGCAGAATATCACTCAAATAAACTAAACTGATTCTGTTAATTTTTATATATAATAAGGTGACAGAACATAATATATCACATATGTGTTGCAGGGGTCATCCTAAGAAAAATTTAGAACTGCCCATTTCATAGCTGCTTCCAGATGCAGTATGTGTTGTGGGCATTATGCCTTCTAGGAGTGCCGGGGATAGCTCTCCCTCTGAAAAATTTTAAAATTGAAGTCTCTCAAATGGCATTTCCAGCATTCTGAGAATAAATTTTGGGAAAAATTTTAGATTTACAAAAGATTATAATGGTGCATTTTCTGAAATCAGAAATCGGTGTATATATTAACTATAATTAAGTCGCTCACTTCATCGATATTTCCTTTTTTTTTGTAGATAATCTTCTAAATATTGATTATCGAAGGTTTAGAAGTTCAGCATTTCTCTCCAAAACTCAATTTTAGAACGGCCCAATTAGAACTGCACATTTTGAAAAATGGGAGGCCTTAGGATGACCACTGCTGTGTTGAAGTCTCCGCTACAGTAGTGGTGTGTCCTACAGACTCTACACATAAATAATATAAGTAATATATACTTACCGATTTAATAAAATAATTACATTTCATTTAGGCACTAAATGACCCATATTTAGTTAAAAAAAACACTGTTCTTCCATTTCAAAAACCTAAAATTGAATACTGTGAAAAGAAAAATATATGGCTGCCATACTTTAAAAATTTGACCTCCTGTAGCCACCCTTTGTCATAGTCTATTTTTGACTAGTATAATTTTGTGCAAGTCCATGTTTTACAAATGAGTCCAGTCCATGTTTTACAAATGAGTCCAGTCCACGTTTTACAAATGAGTCTAGTCCAGGTTTTACAAATGAGTCCAGTCCAGGTTTTACAAATGAGTCCAGTCCAGGTTTTACAAATGAGTCCAGTCCATGTTTGACAAATGAGTCCAGTCCAGGTTTTACAAATGAGTCCAGTCCAGGTTTTACAAATGAGTCCAGTCCATGTTTTACAAATGAGTCCAGTCCAGGTTTTACAAGTCCAGTCCAGGTTTTACAAAATGCCAATTAAATGTCAACGGGATTACCCGCCGGCCAATCAAATTTCAATATTCGTTTGTTATTGTCGTAGAACTGTTCGAATTATTCCGCAAACGTTTAAATTTTTGTAAACAACGTAACGTTTACCGGTTCAAACGTCACCTTTTGCTTGCGAAACCCGACGTTTTGCTTGCGAAACGTGACGTTTGAAACGTGAACAAACGCGAAAAATTCGGGACGCTGACCGGTTCACAGGCGGCCCAATCTCAGAGTGAATGATCAGGTGTTACGGGTTTTTAACGGTTTTTATAAACTAATTTATAGTCAACCAAAACTATTTTAAAAACATTCTTAAATTAGTCAAATAAATACATTTTAACAATAAAATATAGTTGACATGATAGTATAATACCTTTGCATTCTTTTAATTACTCCATGAGCTCATTTAGAGCGGTTGATGTAACATTTTCTGTGGCCTACATTGTGTGTGCTCATCTATATATAATATAACAGTAAAAGGCTAATCACTGGCGCCACGACCAAATTCAAATATTCAAATATCTCCGCTCAAACTTCTCGTACGCCAAAACAAATTCGATTACATCTTTTCACAAAGATTTCTCTTTCTAAATAATGTGGTTTGATCGTAGCTTGGGAAAATTTAGCGACGAACGGAACCAAAATCTCCTCAATTTCGGATACTGTTCGAAATACTTAGGGCTGCTCGGGCACGATCGTGGACGTGACGTAATCAATTTATACTGACAATAACGCCCCACCCGGGGTGGGACAGCATATCAAATCCGACGATGATTTGTCGCTTGATGCTATCCCACCCCATGTAAGGCGATAAGGCGTTATTGTCAGTATGTATTGATTACGTCACGTCTACGATCGTGCCCGAGCAGCCCTAAGTATTTCGAACAGTATCCGAAATTGGGGAGATTTTGGTTCCGTTCGTCGCTAAATTTGCCCAAGCTACGATTAAACCACATTATTTTGAAAGAGAAATCTTTGTGAAAAGATGTAATCGAATTTGTCTTGGCGTACGAGAAGTTTGAGCGGAGATATTTGAATTTGAAGGCGATGCGGTCGTGGCGCCAGTGATTAGCCTTTTACTCTTATATTATATATAGATGAGCACACACAATGTAGGCCACAGAAAATGTTACATCAACCGCTCTAAATGAGCTCATGGAATAATTAAAAGAATGCAAAGGTATTATACTATCATGTCAACTATATTTTATTGTTAAAATGTATTTATTTGACTAATTTAAGAATATTTTTAAAATAGTTTTGGTTGACTATAAATTTGTTTATAAAAACCGTTAAAAACCCGCAACACCTGATCATTCATTCTGAGATTGGGCCGCCTGTGACCGGTTGAACGCAAATGGTAGTATGATGACCGCTGATCAATGTCATCAATCACGGAAACATTTTCGATGTCTTCGATGCGTTTTACGATTTTACAAAACTGTTTTCAATATAATTTCTTACGCGTGGAAAGGTGTCTAATGTACAAATAGCTACAGATAACGCAGTGTCGCTGTCGCATCTTAGGAATAATACGATTCGCTGTCATTTTTTGTTATTTCCAATTCGCTGTCGCAATTTTAATCAAAATTGGTTTCGCTTGTCGCCTTTTCAGCTCTCCCACGTCGCCGTTTCAACGCCATGTCCCCTGTCGGAATTTACCCTAACAGGGCCTCAAAAATCTCCTCTTAATTTTTTAGGTGTAATTTTAGATCGTGAATTAACTTGGAAAAACCATATAAACTCGGTTGTTAAACATATAATTAAATCTACGGCACTATATAGCAAAACTACGACATTACACAAATAAAAATACACTTAAGTTGATCTATTATGCATTGGTTTATCCATATCTTACTTATGGGAATCTAGCATGGGGTAATACGTACCCAACAAGGCTACAGAAAATGGCAAAATGCTGAATATACAGAAAAAATTATCAGATTGATAAGTTTTAAATCGTATCTTGAACACACTGAACCATTGTTTCAGAACTTAAAGATCTTAAATATGTTTAAGATCAATGAGTATTTAAGTTGTTTATTTATGTACCGGTTTAAACGTCTACAAAATTTACCTGAACTTTTTAGTGGCTACTTCGCACAGAACAATGAAGTGCATCATTACAATACTCGCAATGCTAACAAATTTTATGTAAATTTTAGTAGAACAAATTATGCAAAACATACTATTGTTAACATGTGCAAGGGAGCCGTTAAGATATGGAATTCACTAGATAAAGATATTAGCAGTATTATGTTTTATTATATACATGACAAAATTACTGCAATCTGATTGGTTAAGAGGAGTCCAATTATTTCATTAATTATTTATCTTCTGTAATCAGTGGCAAATACTGCAATTTCATTGGTTTACAGGAGTGCAATTTGAGCATTAATAATATACATAAGATATTACTCGACTGTGATTGGTTGATTTCAGTGCAGTTAATCCCAAACAGCAGTGCAATTTTCTGTAATCACAGTGCAATTTTCTGTAATCACAGTGCAATTTTTTGTAATCAGAGTGCAATTTTCTGTAATCACAGTGCAAAAATCTGTAACAAACTGATCTGATTGGTGGAAACACATTGTGATGATTAAATCAACCAATCAGTTTAAATCAGTTTAGTTTTAAAGAAGTAACGGTCACAGATTGCTTCAAAACAAAACAAACATGGCGCCGCGCTACACAAAGTAAAAGTTGCCTTCGCGTGGAAAATATGGCTTTTATCTTTACTTTTAAATGGAAAAGCTTTTACCTTAAACAAGACTAACAAAAAATACTCAGTTGAGTGGAATTTTCAAGCTGTTAGCGTTGTATAATGTGATAAAACAAAGCCACGAAAACTTTGCCAGTGGAATGTTCGCTATAAACGCGTAAGTTAAAACTACAATTGTCTCGAACATTTTTATGTAAATTACTAATAAGTAATAGCATTGGTTTCTCGTGAAATTTGGATAAACATGCACTCGTGAGTTTTTCAAAGACCTCAAATAGCACTAGTCCTTCGGACTCGTGCTATTTTGAGGTCTTTGAAAAACTCATTCGTGCATGTTATATCCAAATTGCACTCGAAACCATGCTATTTAATACCTATACTAATCGCACCTTTTCTGAACAGTAATCGCACTCTTGTCTGCAGCCAATGAAAATCAGTTCAGTATTTACAACTAGCCAAACAGCATTCAGGGGCCGGTTGTATAAAAACGTAATTAGCGCTAACTGTAGTTAAAAGGTAGTTAAAAAGCCTTAGTTAAGCCGTAGTTAGTTAGTCACGTAGTTAAGCCGGTTGTATAAAAGTGTAGTTAGCCTTAACTGCAGTTAAAAAGTAGTTAAAGTTAACTATGCTTTAGGGTATAGTTAACTGTCCAAAACGTAGTTAAAAATGGCGTTTGTATAGGAGTGAACAACATTTTTCAGTAAAAGAACAAAGCAACGCTTACCTGAGATTTTCAATCGCTATCTTCCCTGTGAATGTTTCCTGACAATATAAACTCTTCAAACGCTATCGCTTTGGTGTTTTTACGAAAACAGAACATATTTTTGCCCAGGACGACTTCTCGAAGACGAAGTATGGTCCATTACACCAAGAAACACTGATATTTAATTGCCAAACAGCTATACCTTGGTTTAACGTAGATATCTCAAGGAAAAACTGCATTCTCTTATGATTTTTGGGGCGGTTTTTCTTTATTTTTTTATTTATTTTTCACTGTTTTCTAGTGTTTTGAATAAAATTCCCGCCTATTTGCAAAATACGAGTCCACAATCGTGTTGAAAATGTGTGTCAGCGGTCGTTACTCGCTGCTTACTTTATGTAATTTTCTGTTTAAACGCCCCACGCAAGCCCCACGCACAGTTAACTACGTGATTAGTTAACTATCCGACTAACTACGTTTTGTGCAACGCAGTTAAGTCATGTAGTTAACTAATGACAGTTAAGGATTTAACTGCAGTGATTAACGCTAACTACAGTTAGCGCTAATTACGTTTTTATACAACCGGCCCCAGGATACAAACTTTGAATTTTCTTTTCTTTATTGCTGTAAAAATTTTCAAAATAGAGGAATTCACAAATTTTGAAAATTTTGACCTTTTAATTTTTAAATCAGCCCTCGAAAACCGTCAAAATTGAGGTCGGAAAGAAAATATGCCGACCTAAATCTGACCTAGCTCGGCACATCTCGGCATTTTTTAAAATCTGTTTCCATGTCTTGGAGCACTAGTAACCTGCACTAGTAATCACGTATTTACGAATCATTGAAAAGTATAAATGTCACGAAGGCTTTTCTTTTAGAGTCTTACCTAAATTATATCGTAATACCCGTTAATTCTTAAACATTACACAAAAGTGTATCGAATTCTATAATCGCTGACTTTTTAACAGCTATAAGTACCAAAAAGGATTCTTACTTTCGCTGAATTAAGGTCGGCAAAACATTGCCGACCTGAGAGGTTGATAGGTCAGCATTTTAATAGGTCGGCATTGCCGATCTCATTTTCAAGGGATATGTTAAATTATATATTTTCTGACGAAAATGACCTACCTGTTCTTCCAGCAGAAGACACTTCTCCTCAATCAAATTCAGATGATCAACTGAACTAAAGAATTTTACTATTTTAAACACGTTATAAACATACAAACATGGCTTCCCAATTGTGTGTTGAATAACGGGAATTGCTAGATAGTATACTTCAAAATAAGGTTTCCGTTTTTATATCAATTTTTTAAATAAGTTTGGGTTTGGTTAGGTTTAGGGTTAGGTTAGGGTGGTGGTTAGGGTTCGGGTTAGTATTAGGGTTAGGGTTTAGATCTGCGTTAGGATGGTTTTTTCTACCTTATAAAAACGGAAACCTTATTTTGAAGTATACTTTCTAGCAATTACCGTTGAATAATTCAAACAGATGTTGTCATGTGATTATACCGGAAATAATGCCCAGAAGTTAATAATATGTTAATTTGATTATATATGATAAATAATAATTCAAAATTGTACTATTTCACTAAGAATTGTCGTGACAAAAATTTAATAATTATATTGAATTTCAACAAATTGTATTTTTGTGCTTTTTCCCCTTGAACAGTTTGATTACAGAAGATAAATAATTAATAAGTAATAGAACGAATTAAGTCGTACTATTAATGTCATTAATGCCATAATCATACTCGTGATTTTGTAATCACTCGTACGATTATGGCATTAATAGCACTCCTGTTCGTTCTATTACCATCATTAATTGCACTCTCCAGGGGGGAGCGGGAAATCAAAACAACGAAATCCAATATGGCGGCGAAATTTAGATAAACAGGCCCTAAATCGAGGAATGCACATTTGCCCGACGCCATCTTTAATTCACTATTAACTGGGGACATCCGTGGTTATCTTATGATAATAATGAATTAGTAAAATTTGTTATCCATTAAAGTGCTCCTGTATCCCTTGTCTACATCCGCAGTTTATTTCTATTGTCAGCTGGGAAGTAAACACGCGATAAAAAGTTTTCTTTACTAAATTGACCGAGATATTTACTATGAAACGATGCTGTCCGATTTTGCACCTACTCTGTTCACAAATTCCTATAGTAGGGTAAAGACTCGAGTTTTAGAGTATTAAAAAGCGAATATCTCGGTTCAGTTTTTGAATGAAAAAGGAAAACTAGGGCTGTTGATACAGAAATTTATGCAGAATCGAAGGGTATTTTCAGAATGTCCATCTACCGTGCACACAACTATGTGCTCACTATATTACTGAGTAAATTTGCGTGCCAGAGACTAAGTGTCAATTAATGCATACAAATCACTGTGAAAAATGTCGTTTCGCGAATGCTGTTATTTTGTATTTTCAACCGGTTTATTTTCCTCTATATAAAATCAAAAGCTAAAATAAATCATTACAATATGATTATTTATGATTTGAAAGCATCAAAAGTGTATTTATTGTGATTTGTGCTGCTATAAACTAGCTTTATTTATATACATAAAAATTTAGTATTTAGGCATGTGCGAGCGACAATTATTCAATCAGAATCCAATATTTTCATTTTCCCGCGAATACGTTTGTTTTGATTACATCATTCATGATCATTGAACTATAAATAAACTGGAAGGCTAACTCAGGGGGAGGGGGGGAATTGAAGCCAGTGCATTTTAGTTTTTCTGAGTTATGAGCAGAAATACTCAACACTGAACGTTGGGCTATATATCAAATTGAAGCTATTGAAAAACGCTATTTGGTGTAGAAATTTCAAGACTTTAGCTAAAAGGGAAATATTGAAAAACTACAAACATAATTACCGATAATTTGCCATTTTGCAGTTGTTTTTGTATTTTTTAAACATTTATCTTTTCGCTGAAGTCTTGAAATTTCCACACCGAATAGCAATTTTCAATAGCTTCATTTTGATATATAGCCGAACGTTTGGGGTCAAGTATTTCAGCTCATAACTCAGAAAAACTATTTTGGCTTCATCAAATCATAGGCCTACATCATAGCAGTTAGCCTTCCAGTTTATTTATAGTTCAATGATATATATATATATATATATATATATATATATATATATATATATATATATATATATATATATATATATATATATATATATATATATATATATATATATATATATATCACGCCGGATCAGCTGTTCTCACAAATCGGCCATCTGATATAAACTTTTTCAATATATTTCGGATGGACATGAAACTTGCTACATCAATATAACTTTCCATTCCGAACAATCGTATGTTTTTTATTTTTGAGATTTAACGGTTTTTGGCGGGAAAATGACGTCACGAAACCTCCAGTTAAAATTTACTTTCAATATCTTAATAGTTTTGTCGCAGAATTTGGAAGAACATGTCATGAACCGTTCAAAACTGAAAACGGATTTTAAATATCTAAACCTAATCCAAAGTTATTTCACTATAAAAACCGTGAAAAATCTAAAAATAGTAACAAAATGGTGGAAAATTCGATTCTAAACTTCCTGTATCTCGTGATTAGATTAAGATATTTAAAATCTCTTTTCAGTTTTGAACTCTTCATGACATGATCTTCCACATTCTGCTTAAAAACTATTAAGATATTGAAAATAAATTTTAACTGGAGGTTTCGTGACGTCATTTTCCCGCCAAAAACCGTTAAATCTCAAAAATAAAAAACATACGATTGTTCGGAATGGGAAGTTATATTGATGTAGCAAGTTTCATGTCCATCCGAAATATATTGAAAAAGTTTATATCAGATGGCCGATTTTTGGGAAGAGCTGACCCGGCGTGTATATATATATATATATATATATATATATATATATATATATATATATATATATATATATATATATGTATATATACACACACTTAAGAACTAAACAAGACAGAAAACAACTAGTCAATGAATACTTCGTGGCCGGGTACCCACAACAGCGTGTGAAGCCAATTACTGTGGTCCCGAAAAGGGGAAAAAAATAAATAAATAAATAAATAAATAAATATGACTTCCACAATCCCAATAAGTGTATTAAGTGTAAACAAAAGGTCACAAGGATTCCACAAACCACCTCGATCTATGTTTCGCATGTATATTCGTTGGAAGCGCATTGAAAGCAGGGCCTTCGCCAACAATGTATTGGACAGTTGGACTTGTTCTGATGGCTCTTATACGATACAACTTGCTTATTACAGCTCCGGCAATATTATCTTAAAGGACCTTTTTCCTGGTCAGTCAATGCCTGCACACACGTAACATTAACAACACAACGTCTTTTCTTGATATGACGCCGCCAACCTGGCAGGTAAATTAATCGTTATCGCAACAGATAGACGGCAGATCCTTTAATTGCGCCTCAATATGTTCCCCATACCAGCCATCTGAAATTACTTGGTCAACAACTTCTTTCACCATGCGTGTGTTTGTTAAGAACATGGCGATTTCTCCCACTTTCTTCGGTCTTATATTTTTTACTGCATGCATTCTGGGCACAAAAATGATTTTTTCCCCATTTATTTCATCCAGAGAATCCTGTAATATAAGTAGTAATACCCCCCACTCTGGCAACGGAAGTAATTAGTATGCAAAATCTCCGAAAGTAATTAGTATGCAAGATCTATGACGTAATTTTGCTGGCCCTAACCCTGGACCAACTGTGACAGGTAGCGCGACCAATTAGCGCGGGCAAGCCTGGGCCAACTGTGACAGGTTGCGCGACCAATTAACGCGGGCAGGCCTGGGCCAAATGTGGCAGGCAACGTGACGATTAGCATTACAATGCAGCAACATCACTATAAATACAGCTAGTGTCCTTTCACCTGCATAGTCTGTATTCAACGCTCACGATGGAATGTTTTCACGGTAAACCAGCTGCTTGTTCTACAACTGCTCGTGGTACGTTTTGGTTTTGTGGCGAAACACCGAGCTGCGAGTTCTTTTGCCATGACGAAGATTGTTATCTGTTCACGAGAGCGATCGAAGCCTGTCAGAATAGTGGTTCCAATCATCCCATTTGCCCAACACATCAGAGACTGGCCAAATTACGTGTGGTAAAAGATAAAATGAAAGATAGTTATGGAAGACCCTTCTTCACGTGTTCTGATAGACATGATCCTTGCAACTTTTGGCAATGGGGAGACATTTACGAAAGCCCTCGACCACGCTGCAAGCACGGGATGGTATGCACCGTACGTAAAGTGAAGAAAGAAGGACCCACACAGAACCGCCTGTTTTACTGTTGCCCTCAGATAGACAACTGTGGATTTTTCGAATGGAAAGTGATCGAACCTCGTGTGGCCAAGACTGGCTTCGTCCTATTCAGTGACCCGCTAGAATATCGATACAAGAATGAAGACACGGGAGAAACATTCACTAGTACTAACATTAATGCTAAGGAAGCGTATGAAGAATTCCTTAAAAAATATGAATAACTGTAATAAAACGAAATAAATTGTTTTTATCATCATGAATGTGTTCTGTATGTTATTGAGATAAATCACTTACATTTCTCATTTGGGTTTTAACCTTTATGGTGAGAGGTTCTCTGGTGAAATGAATAATATAAATATAATTTTTGACGAGTTGAGACAAAATGAAATTGATATCGATAAGCAGACTTTATCGTTTCATATAAATGCAATTCTCGACCACCATCGAGATCTATATCGTGAAATGAGTGCTAGCTCATGGTCTAAACCTTGACCAAGTCTACAGAGATATAAATATGACAAACTTTGGTCGCATTTTTGCTTATTTAGCGTTAGTTTGTGTGCAAAGTGGCAGCGAGGAAAGCGTTCGAGAACATGTCCGAAAAACTATCGAGGCCTTTCGAACTTTTTATATCCCAAAAGCGGGGAGGAATAATAAACCACCAATTTTAATAGCGCTCTCACTTACACTAATAGCTTTATATGTTAGTCTATGATTGCTGCATGGTTCATTTCGTTCTAACCTCTTAGGTGAAAGGATGCCCTGTTGTGGAAAAGTCTTCCAGAAATTTCCCTCCGAGATATCTTTCGGAAAGTGCGTTGTATTTCCGCTTGCTGTGGAGGGAAAATTGTAATTCAAGCCTCAGACATTGATGGCAGAAAAGTACCTGAGCCAAATCTATTACAATCCAAAAAGTCCCGCAAGCTTTGGTGGCATAGATTCAATTTACCGTGTCGTAAAAGACGAAGGCAAACATCAGATATCGCGGAATAAAATACGGCTATGGCTACAAAAGCGAGACACGTATACTTTACATAAATCTGTAAGATATCGTTTCAAAAGGAACCGTGTTATTGTAGGCGCAATTGACGAACAGTGGGAGGCGGATCTTGTGATTATGGACTCGATAAGCAAATACAATAACGGCTTTAAGTACATTTTAACTGTAATCGATGTACTTAGCAAATATGCGTGGGCTGAACCGATAAGAACAAAGACTGGAGAAAATCTTGTCAAAGCCTTTGAGAAAATACTTAAAAAAGGTCGAAAGCCTGAAACGTTTCACAGCGACAAAGGGACAGAGTTTATGAATCGAAAGTTTCAAGCCTTTTTGAAGAAACATAACATCCGGTTTTTCACGACGCAAAACGAGACCAAGGCATCGATTGTCGAAAGGTTTAATCGTACGCTCAAGACGAAAATGTGGAAATACTTTACAGCGAAGAATACGCTCAAGTACGTGGACATTCTCCAGAAACTGGTCAAATCTTATAATCATTCGAGACATCGTAGTATTGGTATGAGGCCTGTTGATGTAAATGAAGACAACGAGAGCATTGTGTGGCAAAAACTTTATGGAGAAGAGTCAGACAAATCCGTTCGGTTCAAGTTTAACATTGGCGACCAAGTACGAATTAGCAAAGCAAGGCGCACATTTAAGAAAGGATACTTACCTAATTGGACCGAGGAAGTATTTACGATAACCAAACGTGTTCTTCGACGCCCACCCGTGTACAAGATCGCTGATTTTGATGACGAAGAATTGAAAGGAACATTTTACGAACAAGAGCTTCAGAGAGCAGGAGATGATCGTTTGTCGCTATCCATGATTGGAATGAGGAGATGTCCTTCATACTTTTTATTTTATATTAATTCTGCAAGGCCTTCTAAAAGTGGTCCAAGTACCAATCCCAGAAAGCCGCTTCCCCGCTGAACAAGAATTTCTTTTTTCGTCTTAAAATTTCTATCTCTGTCTGCTAAATCAGCTAGATCTTGTTCGAAAGGTCTGAGTTTGTCCTTTGTTTCTTTAGAGTATGTGAAATTTTCTATACAATGACACAAGCATCGAATTTGCCTCAGCTGATGTAGAATTAAGAAGAGCTTGCTGTTGAGTTGGATGAGAAGTAGATAAGAGTTCTACAAATGGTCTGTGTTTCATATAACTGCAAGTCATCTCTGTTCGGCGGTCAGCAACGGAATGAAGATTTAGTTGGAAATAACACATATATAAGGATCGGCTCGCCCTCTATAGATTAGGTCTAGACAATAGTCTTCATAGTCTTTACTATAGTCTTTCATAGTCTTTACTATAGTCTTTCATAGTCATGACTATAGTCTTTCATAGTCAGGACTATAGCCTTTCATAGTCTTTACTATAGTCTTTCATAGACAGGACTATAGTCTTTCATAGTCAGGACTATAGTCTTTCATAGTCTTTATTATAGTCTTCGTAGTCATGACTATAGTCTCTCATAGTCAGGACTATAGTCTTTTATAGTCAGGACTATAGTCTTTCATAGTTAGGACTATAGTCTTTCATAGTCAGGACTACAGTCTTTCATAGTCTTTACTATAGTCTTTCATAGTTAGGACTATAGTCTTTCATAGTCTTTACTATAGTCTTTCATAGTTAGGACTATAGTCTTTCATAGTTAGGACTATAGTCTTTCATAGTCAGGACTATAGTCTTTCATAGTCAGGACTATAGTCTTTCATAGTCAGGACTATAGTCTTTCATAGTCACGACTATGGTCTTTCATAGTCAGGACCATAGTCTTTCACAGTCTTTACAATAGTCTTCATAGACGCGACAATAACCAACGGGATAAATACACCTCTTCACTCTTGCTTTAAATCATTTTACACTGACTCTTGAGAAGTAAACATGTCTTATGAATGCGACATCTGCGGCAAAACGTCTGCAAATGCGAGTAATCTCCTTCGCCACAAGAAGGTTGTCCATGCATATGGAACTCGTACTCTTGGGCAGCAAACTCTCACGGTGAATGGGGTTACAGTCATGCAGCATCCCTTTACATGCATCGTTGCAGGATGTACCCAAAGCGGCAAAACCGTATGGGTAAAATCTCTCTTGGAGAATGCTCAAACGACTATAAGTCCTACTCCTCAACGTATCATTTGGTGTTATGGTCAATGGCAACCGTCCTATTTTGATATGATGAGGATAATGCCTGGAATCGAGTTTAATGAAGGCATCCCCGAAGACATCGACAATGCGGATTACTTGGACGTATCGCAACGGAATTTGATCGTATTGGACGACCTTATGGCTCAATCTGGCAAAGATAAACGTATTTCTGATCTTTTTACGAAAGGAAGTCATCATCGAAATTTGTCTGTCATCTATATTGTCCAAAATATATTTCATCAGGGCAAAGAAATGAGAAATATTAGTCTAAACGCGCATTATATCGTATTGTTCAAGTCACCAAGAGATAAACAACAAATTTCTATACTTGCAAGGCAAATAAATCCCCGCAAAGTACAAGAGTTTATGAGGAGTTATGAAGATGCTACGAGCCGGCCTCACGGATATTTGATGTTGGATTTAAAGCCGACAACGAGTGACCAAGATCGACTCAAGACAAACGTACTTCCCGGCGAGATTGCAAAGTTTTTACACAAACAGTCGTATCGTCAACCACCACTTGCAAACGCAATGTATGATGCCGAACAGAGAATGAAAGAAATCATGGATGCACCACAGCTTAGCGCAGTGGAAAAAAGCAAATTATACTCTGATCAACTAAATCGGTTTTTGACATTCAAAAATAAGATGGATGTTCCGACTCAAGCTCCTGTTCAGACAACTCCACTAGTGCCTGCAGAAATACCACAACCCAATGAATTTGTTGAGATAGCACCACCAGTGCCTGCTACCCCTAAACCTAACTTCCTTACACCACCACCAACAGAAGAGGAACGGCCAAAACTCAAGCACAACTTTTTCCACAATTGGGTAGACTCTACAGATTGGAGGCCCCAAGATTTGGCAATGATGACCCCTGAACAAAGAGAAGGTTACGAACAAAGATTACTTCGCGAGAGGCCGAAATATATTCCAATGAAGGATGAAGACGTTGCAAAGTTATCCCCAGAAGATAGACAAGAATATGAGAACTCTTTAAAAATAACAAAAACACCTAGACATTACGCTCTTAGAAGTAGACCGTACTAAATTTTGTAAAACGTTTTGAAGAAATAAATTTAAAAACTAAAATATTGTGTAATTTTTGCCGGCAAAGCCCGCTCTTTCCGCCCGCGCGATCCGCCCGCCTGATTAGTGTACAAATATGTTGTACGTTAATATATGCATGCACCCGCAAAGCCACGCGCCTGATTTTAAAGTATACACCTGCGTTAAAAATAATCCCTATCTATCCATCGGGATACATTTAGTTATGCAAATTCGTATTGCCTTAATCCCCTTAATTACCTACACACCTCCTAATGACTTAGCAACGCATAAACAACGCAAATTTGCAAAGTTTAAAACATGTTTATTAATACAAATAACAGACGATAGCGTCAAAAAATATTACAACTAAGACTGTTTGTTAAACTGTTCTACAAGTTTTTTCTCCAAGAATCCTTGATAAGCTTTCTTATGATCTGCCTCAAAACTTCTAAATCGTTCACCCGTCGCCTTCACATAATACATGTAACTCGGTGGGTACGAAAAAAACGCTTCAGCTGTTGACTCGAGCGGGTCTTCTAATCTCCAATGAAACAAATAGTTCAGTATACATTGTAGTTCGTGGTTCTCAGTGTTCTGATGTAGTTCCATCAATGAATCGACAAACGTAGAATCTGGGTCTTTTTCCAGTTGCTGTAAATGTTCGAGTACATCTCTGTCAACCGCCAGTTTTAGTACCCTCATTGCCTCAGCGAATTCGTTCCAAACCATACGCTTACCATTCACGCGTTCGATCGCTTGTAAACCATACATTTGCCATCGTTCGTTTTCGTTCATCATGAGGCAGTCATGTTGTCTTTGACTAGGATGACCGACTTGACAACCATTACAGGATTCCACACAAAGTCTTTGAACTTCATGTGCGACTGCATTCGCATATATTCCTTCCAATAAATTGTAAGATGCGGTTTTTCCGTGCAGACACTCCATCGTACGGCTTTCACAACGAAATGGTAATATGGCTATAGCAAGCGTTGTCTTTTGTACTGAAAATTCCGAGCTCTGCTTAATGACTGTTTCGGACATTTGGTCGCGTTGCCTGTCACATTTGGCCCAGGCTTTCCCGCGCTAATTGGTCGCGCTACCTGTCACATTTGGCCCAGGCCTGCCCAGAAAAGTGATATTTGGCCCAGGCTTGTCCGCGTTAATTGGTCGCGCTACCTGTCACATTCGACACCGGCCTGCCCGAGTGACGCCATAAATTTTGCATACCAATTACTTCCGACACCTAAGTTTGCATACTAATTACTTTCGAAGCAATGTGACGTCATTGGCGGCATCCCTTTGTACTCCATATGGGGGTCTATTACTAGCTGTATTTATAGTGATGTTGCTGCATTGTAATGCTAATCGTCGCGTTGCCTGCCACATTTGGCCCAGGCCTGCCCGCGTTAATTGGTCGCGCTACCTGTCACAGTTGGCCCAGGCTTGCCCGCGCTAATTGGTCGCGCTACCTGTCACAGTTGGTCCAGGGTTAGGGCCAGCAAAATTACGTCATAGATTTTGCATACTAATTACTTTCGGAGATTTTGCATACTAATTACTTCCGTTGCCAGAGTGGGGGGTATTACTACTAATATACGTTCAACTCAAGTTCCTCAATATATATGGTCTTAATTCGTCAACTAATGCTGTCGCCAATTCAAGAGCAGAAGCATTCGTTTCGTAACTGTTTCCTCATTGTTCGCCATTAGAATACAACAGATATATCGCAAGCCATGCAGGTTTACGGTCACGTGACATAACATCTAGCAGATGTCGACATTAAACAGGAAGTTATATTAAGTTTGACAGCCATCTTACTCATCTTCGCTTCGATAGGCCATGGGTAAGCGTACTACAAATACATGCATGCAGAAACCACTGAGCTATACTATATTACTGGAGGACCTGCTCGGCCAAAAAAAGTGAAGCCAAAAACATGGAGGATTTCGCCTTTGCTGACGCCATTTCTATGACAACTGGTCCGTATTTCTCATGGCAATTACCACTGACCAGGCTCGGATTTGACCCTACTACAATTTCCACACACCCAAGTTTTTTGGAAAAAGCTTTAGGATTTTGCAATTTTGCTCGGCGGGTTTTACAGTATCTTCTCGATGATTTGAATCGATTTTCAGTTAAAATATTTTCAATTCGAAATATATTTTCTAAATTTGGTTAATGGTTCAAAGATGTGCAAGTCGTACGTGTTATTCTTTCCCGAGAAAGACAACAAACAAGTATCCATGAAACCTTGCAAAATATGAGCAAAGAGGATATTTGCATTGAATCAGCGAGCTATAAATAGGTTATTTTATTTAGTTATCGGCCACTGATTTGAATCTATTTTGAGATTGCGAAGTGTCAGTTCATATCCTGTTAATATAATTTGAAGATTGTTTTGTTTCCTCAGCAACTTCACAACCATGCAATATAATTGAGTTCCAGATTCTACTCGCGAGAAGCGAGAAGAATATTGTTCCTCAACTTTTCAGCTGCGGAATTTCCTCAGCTGAAATATTATTCTCTGAGGAATTTGTGTTCTCTAAGGAATTTGTTTTACGAAAGAAATAAGAAGGACTCAGTGGTCACTAAGAGACTCAAACAAGAGAATCCATTGGTTCCATTCTTCCAGTTAAATGAGTTAATAAAAGGTCAAGATATACTAATACACAGTGTCAGAGTTAACACTAAGCTTGATTACCAGCTGTGAGCAGTCTCGACTCTCGGCCGGGTCCCGTCTTTGAACATATACAAATACAAGTTAAATAAACTTTATTGTTACACTGACACACGTAACGCACGGTCAAATTTTTCATTGTTTCTACGCACTTTTGAGCCGAATTTGATTAGTTGAGGAACATTTGAAAAAGGCAAATTCGGGAGCCGAGAAACATTGAACACTTTTTTCAGGTCTGGGCTAATAGATCTTTTAGCAATTCGATTTCAATTCCCAGGGCCAGGGGCCTAAAAGCTTTTATGCTTAAGAATTGCAAAGTGGATTTCTTAGGAAATTCCGAGGTTGCGTCTTTTTATACACCCTGTATACCCGCAAATTATATATTCTTTCCTTCCTCCCCCACGCGCGTTCACCAATTACATACATACATACATACATACTTTATTGTGTTCCTCAAAGAGGCTTTTCAATACTAATTTACATGGAATGGTGATTAAAAAACAAGGTTAAGATTACATATATAAAAATTTACTAGGAAAAATCTTTTATTATTAAAATAGTCCACTACTAAGAATACAGTCTGTCTAACATGTCTTTCTTTAATTTATTCTTAAAACTTCTCAAAGATGGCATTTGTTTCGTGTTATTGTCCAGATCATTCCATAGTTTCACCCCTCTATAATGAAATGTTCTCTGGCCAGTGGTGGTATTATAAATCGGTATTTGGAGGAGCTCTCGTTTACGAGTGTTACATTCATGTATATTTGATCGTTTACTAAATTTATTGCACAAGTAAGGTGGGGCTAGATTGTTAATACACTTGTACATCAAAACTGTATCTCTAAAAAGTATGTGTTCCTTAACTGTAAGCCAATTCAGTTCTTGCAGTTTTTGTGAGATATGATCGAACTTCTTGCTGTTTGTCACGATCCTACACGCGAAGTTTTGTACCAGTTGTAGCTTGTTAATATTTTTGGCTGAAGTGTTCGACCAAGCAGAGGAGCAATAAAGGAGTTTATTCATTACCAATGCTGATACCAAGAGGGATATAGTTTCTTTATCAAAATATTTGCTTACTCGGTTGATCTGTGACAATTTGGACATGCAAGAGGAGACTAATTCAGTGATATGGCAATCGTATGACATGTTGGTGTCCCTTATTAATCCTAAATCCTTGGCTGAAGGAACTGGCCTGATAGTTTCACCTAGAAAATTTAGGCACATATCTGTAGGGAGATTTTGTAACTGTTGTCGCGTTCCGATAAGTAAATACTTGGTTTTCTTCGGGTTAATAAGTAGATGAAGTTCAGAGCAGCACTTTGCTACTCGGCTGAGATCTTCCTGAAGGTACTCTTTTGTGTCAGTCGCGTCATTAACACGAAATGACAAGAACATCTTTGAATCATCAACATATGAATTAAGGGAGCTGTGACGTGGGGCCAGTGGTAACTCGTTTACATAGATGCTAAACAAGAGTGGAGATAAAATAGCACCCTGTGGAACCCCGTGAGTGATGTTAAGAGATGACGAAACAGACGTTCCAATACGGACAAATTGTGATCTGCCCGTTAAGTAGCTTTCGAACCACTTCAATACCTCAGGAAATGCGCCAATGTGTCTTAGCTTGTTAAGCAATGTTGGGTGATGTACGCTATCAAATGCCTTCGATAAATCTAATAGTATAAGTGCAGTTACAGATTTCTGGTCCATAGCTTCCAATATGATATCATCAACCAAAACGTTCAAAGTTTCCGAGGAATGATATCTTCTGTTACCGCTTTGATGCGATGTCAGACATTCATTATGGAACAAAAATGTTGTAAATTGGCATGAAACGACCTTCTCGCAAATTTTTGACACAACTATAAGTAAGGAAAGGGGATGATTGTTGGATGGTAGTTCATGATCACCCTCCTTTATTAGTGGAATAACTTCCACCTCCTTCCAAGATTGTGGGAACGCAGAAGAAGTCAGTGAAGCATTAATAATATCTGTTAATGGTCCGAGGATGACTGGTAAGCAGTCCTTAATAATGCACATGCTTACTTTATCTTTGCCTGGAGCCTTGTTGGTGGGCATGGACATTATAATGTTTTTAACTTCAGAACAGGAGACAGGGTCAAAATTAAACATCTCAGATTCGTATACAGGGTAATTTCTATTAAACGCTGTAGTAGGTGGAGTATCAGGGTAAATATTATAATCTTGTAATAATTGAGATGCTGCTATGGCTGTATTCTCCCCAACAGAAGAAAAAGTGGTTGAACTCTTCAGCAACTATCTTTGGGTGTTTGCTATAGGCTATGGATAAATCGGGTGTTTGGGTATCACTTTCCCGTTTGTAATCTAAAATGACTGAAAATTGCAAACTTTGTGCAGGGCTATATTATCCACATTTTACAACATTTCGTAACGAAACATCGGAATATTACTAAATTTGTGATGCTCTTTCAAGCTGTGATGAAAGTTTTGCCTAGATCAAAATTTTAGTTACAAGGTTAAAGGTCCATTGGAAATACCGATCTCCTATATTATAAGTGCTATGATAATTTGTCTTTAAATTAGGGTTTCGATTAACAGACTTAGTGTGTAGTTCTTGTTGAGTTAGATTATGCTGTTCACGATTGATGTAATCTATTGATGTAGCCTCAGGAGTTAATTCTTTATGGACTTGATATATTTCCATTATATTGTCATAGTTTATTTCTGAAGTCAAGGGAGTTGTGTTATGCATTATAAGTACACAATTGTTTAGATTTTGATCATTTATTGTATCATTTAGTGTATCTGGACAATGGGTAGTGTGTTGATTGGTTTTAACACATTCAATTTCTATTGTTTCCATCTCTATTGTTTGGGTTGAATTGTCAATACGATTCAACTCAGTACAGTTTGAACAATGCTGCAGTAAAGCCAAGCCCCCACGGCACTCAGCTAGTATAGGTAAATTCATATCATGTTTATCTAATCGTTGTGTATTGCAAAATTCACTCCTAAATTCACTCACAATATCATTGAGATTTGCCAAATCGCAGTCATTTACCTTAATATCCCTTTGCAGTATTACTTGCTCTATTTGGATTCCCTCGATATCCACAGACAACCTATTGCATTTGCAAGAGTGAGCATCGATGCATTTATTGACAGGTTCGTCTCTCTGATCAACTTGTGTAGAGTTCTGAAGCGTCACATAATTCCATACAGAACAACCGTTTAAAGGACATTGGCAACCAAAATTTTTATTACTTATATCTATTAGGTATACTTACCAAATATTTAATTACATATTTTGGCCGGTTTGTCGCGCTTAGTTGCTGAGAAAATTTGCTTGAATTTGAGAAAATTTGAACAGTTGTGTACGCCATTTTGAAAATAAGCATGTATGCTAATTTATGCCACAAAATACATTATTTGACGTCATTGGCTGGGTAAACACAATCTCATGACTATAAACAATACCGTGTATTACACGCGTAGTGCATTTTGAGCCAAAACAAAAGGCAGAAAAGTTTTACCAAGTATGTAACTTGTTTGTAACACTATTTCTCATAGGATATGTCCTACTCCGTGTTAAATAAGCACGGAAATTCGAGTGTAACAAGGCAAATACTAATGCAATATTTTATGATCAATTACCTGTGTTGTAAATTGCGCCATTTCTTGCTTTCCCAGTCGCTCGATATGTTTTTATCTGATAGTGTAGACTTCTCTTGTTTGATTGCGAAGAGTGTTGGCCAGTATAACGCTCAAAACGACATATTTTTAGCTAACATAACACGCACGAAATAGAATTCTCTCTTTGACTCTCTTGTTGTTTTGGTGCTACTCAGCCAATGACGTCACAAAGTTCACTGACCTTCGAGATAATATTTTAAAAAAAATTTCCAAGATGGCGGCGAAACACAAAGTTTGCATGCATTTTACTCGTAGACTAAAATGTTCGAGAAGGAAATGATAATATTTTCATAAGTCAAGTAGGATTGAAGTAGCCAATAAAAATTTTCGTTGCCATTGTCCTTTAACCATGTTTGATTCTTTACCATCAAAGTTCAAGATCTTTACTTTTTCTCCATGTGATGCTAAACAAATCACCGCTGAAAACTTTTTTATCTCCATCAGGTTGACTCAATGCAAATGCCTTGGAGTTTTATAATGTTACATACAAACTGTTTTAAGGAGGCAAAATCACCTTTACAGGTTAGTTGTAACTTACTTTTCGGCGGTAAACCACCGTTCCCATCTTTACATTTTATTTCATCCCTTAAATTATTAACTTGAGAATTGAAGTCAGAATTTAAGGAGCACTTGTTCGCATGACTATCCGCCATTTTGTAACACAATGTGTATGTGATGTAATTGATATGTAATCTACTTAGGGGCGTCTCACATATAAAGTCAACTGAAGGCACTCAACCTCAGGGTATAATTTTTATATTTCGTATCTAAAGATATAAACATTTGCATATATCTCAGTATATGTTCTTTACTTCAACAGGAAGTCTCTTCAAACTCGCAGCAACACTATAGATATTGCCTTTATGACCACTGAGGGTACGAATTTCTTCATGCTTTTCTGCATCCCAGATCTTTAAAGTTCCATTATATGAAGTAGACACAAGCATTGAATTGTCATTTCCTAAATCAAAAGTAGGGATGAGTAAATTATTAGTTTTTCTTCTACAATTGGCCATTGTATAGTATAATATATGATATGATATGATATTGAATTGGGTTGTTACGAGGAATGGAAATTTTTCTTTGAATATAAATTAAATTATGGTCACTAATTCATAGATGAATGATTCCTGGACCGTTTATTAATTCTGGTTTATTTGTGAATGGGCTGTGTGCATGGTGTCGGTTTACAATATGGAGGACTAACAAATTCACCTTTGCAGGGCAATATTTTTGCCCAAGTAAATCAGCTGAAGTCAAACCTTTACTTAACCGAAAGTTCTAGTACTATATTCAACATAAATATTTCAAAGTAACTATATAATGCAGTAAAAATCTTAGAGATCAGCAATTATGTTGGCAATTATCCCGTTTTTAGCGTAACAATTACGGATGCTGAATAAAATTGTGTGTGTAAAATTAAAGGATTTATATTTATATTTTTAAATTTTGGTGTCAATTAATGAGAAAATGCCAAACTTTCAATACATGAAGAAAATATTCGGATTTATTGAGTATAAGTGAGTGAAAACAATGATTTGATAATTTTACCATTTGTCCAATACATACGGTAGGCAACTTTAACTTGGAATAATACCTTCACATGCATTTACGACAGTTAAATTTTACGTTCTTGTGAATGAGAATTTACATCTCATACGTTCTCTTCAATTTCCATTATGTGACATTCAAGTTTCTTGGTGTAAAAAAACATTTAACTCTCCCAACCACGTTTGTCCAAAATCATTTGTTGTGTATTGTTTACGCACGGTTAGGCAGATTCTTGGCACGCTTACGCACGGTTTCACATACCATTGACCGTGCGTAAAATGCCTTCCGGCAGTATTTAGGCACGGTCCATTTTCACCTCTGATAAGTTTAGGGGCTCATGTACGGTCGGATAAAAGACCCATTAGTTAAGCGCAGCTTAGGCACGGTTAAGCACGGTTGTGGAGATTTTGTATAGGATATGCTCCTTTCTATAAGTATATACATTAATGTTGCAATACATTAACTTCTACATAACGTGTTTTAAACTCGATCTTTCTCTGTTCATCAAAGACAAAGCTCTAGTTCATTTAGACTTGTTTTGCAGACATTAAATGAATATTTCCCGAGATCCGAATGGTTCGCATAAGAAAAATTAAAATTTTTTCTTACGTTAACCACGTCTATATAGGGTTTTTATAGGCACGATTAAGCACGCTTTGGCACGGTATAATTTAATGATACACGCTGGTGACGCCGCAAAAGCTTGTTGTTATTTACGTGACTCAGTTGTAGCGTTAGGTAGTTTATACAAGGCAAGATGGGGAAAACTAGCAGTAGTGAAACGATAAGACTACGAGAGGCCAAAAAGAGAAAGGAAGATAAGGTGCGAGATCAGCGCGCAAAATATTATCAGGAAAACAGGGAAAGAATCAACCGCGAGCGTCGTGAAAAGCGACAGAAAGCCAAGCAGTTAAATGTTGCCAAACAAAGCGTTGTCGATGATGATAATGATACAAGCGCGGTCGATAACAGTGCCACAAAAAAGTATGACTGGGCGTTATATAAACGGCGACAACGAGCAAGAGCCAAAGAAGAAATTGAGCGAAAGAAGGATAAGCCAATAACCAACAAGTGCAAATGCAGTAGTGTAGTGTCTCGTCACACAACTTTTCCAACAAGAATGGCTAAAAAGCGGCACGTCGATTTAGTGAGATCACATCTTCCAAAAAGTCCAACGAAGAAAGCTGCAGTCGTAGCTGCACTTATCGAAAGCCCAACGACGAGGAAATCTCTCGAGAAAAAGGGTCTTATTAATACAACAGAAAAAAGTGAAGAAGCTGAAATTGCTGTTTCTGCTATGCGCGACGCAAGAGATGCCATTAGTGTCACAAAAGGTCAACGGTGTAACGACTCTCGTGCAGCTACTCAGACAGCCCTTGGCTTTCTCTGTGGTGATACAATTAAGTCGAATCGCATGAAGACGAAAGTATCCCGAATGCTCAACATAAATAGAAAACGCGTCGGTAAAGCATATAACCATCGCAGCAAAGTTCTGAAAAGCGAGAAATCTTGTTGGACGTATACGGAAAGACGAAGTAGGTCTGATGCCTTCCCTACAGAACATCGGAAGCTTGCGCATGACTTTTGGGCTTGCCCTGACATTTCCCGGACAACCCCAAATAAAAAGGACATTGTAAGAAAGAGACTAGCTCCCAAGACATACGTAACCCACCCGAGACAAATACTGGAAAAAACGCAAACTGAAGCATTCCTCGAATTTAAGGAAAAATACCCAGATATAAAAATGGGACAGCATTCTTTTGAAAGCTGTAAACCCTTCTATGTTTCCACACCACGGTCTCAAGATAGAGTTTCTTGTTGTTGTCGAATACACGTAGAAACTAGGATGGTGTTTCAATCATGTATGGAATTTAGACGACAACTTCCCCACCGTCTTGAACAATACATCGTGTACAAACATTTAACTGATTTGGTCAACGATACATTGTGTCCAAAACCAGAAGAAGAAAAATATCATCATCCAGACTGCCTTCAACGAGTGTGCAAGAATTGTGGAACAGCGAGTTTTAAAGTATTGGACGAAGAGAAGGTGAGTAATGAAGCTGCAGCATTAGTAAAATGGCGAAAGTTCGAGTATGTCGTCATTGGTGTCAACGATGACAACTCGGATAAAAAGAAGCTTAAGTTGGTTGATAAATTGACCTCCCCAGGTGAAATGTTTTCTTGCCTACAGAATCTCTTGCAGACATATCCTTCGCATCAGTTCCGAGCTAATTGGCAAAACCAACAGCTTCGAGAGCTAGTTGAGAATCTACCAGCTGGCCATGCCGTGGCAATTCACGATTACTCAGAGAATTACTCTTGTGCTATGCAGGATCAGATCCAATCTCTGTACTTCTCCCAAATCCAAGCATCGATTCATGTTACGATTCTCCACCGCCATGCTCTGACGAATGTAGACGGAATCGAAAGCACGGCAGAAGACCCATCCATTGTCACAGAACACATTTTTGTAATTTCTCCTGATTGTAAGCATGACCACCACTCAGTGCACAGCGCTCGAAAACTCATGGATGGTTATCTCAATGAAATAGGTATGATATCAATTTAATCGTTTTAGCCAGTAACATCGAACAAAATAAATATTTTAAAATTGCACGTTTATTTCTTCGTTTCATGCAAATAGGCCTATATATAGAGTGTATAGTGATAATCGAAATTTAAAAAAGTAAATACAATTTTAGAATGTTAACTTTCTTCGGTGTTACTATTGCCAGTATTGGCTGTACTATATTGCTTTGTTTTTTACATAAAAGTAATTGGTTCCCCTACATTTTGAGAAAAACTTGGCCTGAAAAGTTTTTAAAGACTAAAACGTACGCGTAGAGAATTTATAGCAGTGACAAATCTAAAATCATGTTCAAAATATTATATTAAGACATGCAGGCACGGTCAAGCACGGTCTTATAGCCATAGGCACGGTCTATAGTACAGCTATATACTACAGTCTATACAGCCGATTATACAGGCACGGTTAGGCACGGTCTATAGTACTATATCTATGCAGCCGTGTATACGAGTTATAAACCATATAAAGCGTGTTCAAAATATTACATTAAGCCATTCAGGCACGGTTACGCACGGTTTATAGTGCTATAGTCTATATCATACAGCCGTGTATGTGAGTTATAAACCATTAATCGTGTTCAATATATTACATTAAGCCATTCAGGCACGGTTGAGCACGGTTAGGCACAGTCTATAGTACTATAGTCTATATCATACAGCCGTGTATATGAGTTATAAACCTAAGTCGTGTTCAAAATATTACATTTAAGCCATTCATGCAAGGTTGAGTATAGGTTATTTTGAGGCAACGAGGGGATATGTGATTTATTCACCGAGGCGCGCAGCGCCGAGGTGAATAAACACATATCCCCGAGGTGCCTCAAAATAACGTACTTATTTTTCACACTGCGAGGTCGCGTTAATGAGTCAGAAAAGAAATAATTCTCAATGCCATATTGCCTTTGCGATGTTGTTTTTTTCTCATTTTTTGTGCTGCAAAGACATTGCAGGTGAATATTAGAGGGGATTATTAATTGCAGGTGAATATTAGAGGGGATTATTAAACGGAAATTGATTAGAGTGGAATATTGAATATATTCCCCGACAAGAACAAAGGAAACCGAGCAGGGTGAAAAATAAGTATAGGTTATTTTGAGGCAACGAGGGGATATGTGATTTATTCACCGAGGCGCGTAGCGCCGAGGTGAATAAACACATATCCCCGAGGTGCCTCAAAATAACGTACTTATTTTTCACACTGCGAGGTCGCTTAACGAGTCAGAAAAGAAATAATTCTTAATGCCATATTGCCTTTGTTATGTTGTTTTTTTCTCATTTTTTGTGCTGCAAAGACATTGCAGGTGAATATTAGACGGGATTATTAATTGCAGGTGAATATTAGAGGGGATTATTAAACGGAAATTGATTAGAGGTGAATATTGAATATATTCCCCGATAAGAACAAAGGAAACCGAGCAGGGTGAAAAATAAGCACGGTTATATAGGCACGGTTTATATAGCCGGTCTATGAGCTATTTTGTATATGATCTATGTAGTATATTGAGTTGTTTCTATGCGATATATGAGTTGTTTTATACGTAGTTTTTTGCGCTCCAGCTGGTTTAAAATATTAAATATGAACCGTGAGTAAGCCCGGCACGGTTGAGCAAGGTTATAGGCTACACATTTCAGAAATTTCACCAGAAATCGCACAAAAAACACACCAGAAATTTCACAAAATTAAAAAACCCAGATTCTTCATTGAAATTTTAGTGACATGGGCAACTTTAACAGTATATCAATCATATAAGCTTACTGAGAAAATCATCCATGATTTAAATATAGGTTACGACGTGAAAACTATGCATGAATGGACAGATGGATGCTCGACACAGTACAAAAGCCATCACTGTATGGGCGACGTGGCCCAATCATCTTTAGATTTTGGTTATGTCACTATCCGTAACTACTTCGAAACTTCGCATGCAAAAGGACCTCAAGATGGTGCCGGGGCTAATCTTAAACACAAAGCTGACATGGCTGTCATCAAACGGCAGGTAAATATAAACTGATATAAATCCAATCATGAATTTAGGAAAAGGTGCCAAACTGAAGCTTGCAGCTAATAAGGGAGAAATTGATGTGCAACACACAATAAAGTTAATTACTGAAATAAATGACTGAAATAACTACTCCATGTAATTTTTGTCCTTTCGTTCACATTTAGGTCGTCATTCGAAATGCGAAAGAGCTGTATGAGTTCGCTGAGAGTACAATGAAAGATCCAGCACCCTCACGATATCAGTCCGAGAGCGTTAAAGTGAAACGGCGTAAATTTTTCTATGACGATGATATACTCCGCAATCGAAGAGATCGGTATTTTAAAGAAGTGAAAGGGAATAGATCAATCCATGCAGTTATGTCAACGGACGGTGGTTGCAGTTTAAGTTCGAGGCGCCTATCCTGTTACTGTGACGCATGTTTAGATGGGCTCTACGATGCTTGTGAAAATTCTGCGTATGTTGATGATTGGGAGGAGCAAGATCTGGAACGAGAAGGCGGCCATCAACCCACTGTTGTTACCAGAGGGGACATTTCTGCGACGCTAGAAGCAATAAAGCACCTAGCAACGAAAGATGCAATTGTTGCCATTGCTTCTGCTGACAGAGGAATTGACTATTATCTGCTTCAAGTAACCGGTGACGGGCCAGAGACGCTATTGACAGAGGAAACAGATGATTGGGGAGCTACATACCCACCCGGTGCAGAGATCATTCGCGGATGTTTCCTTACCAGAGCGAACGCTGTGAGTCCTTCGAGTCGTAATTCTCATTACGAGCTAGTGAGAGAGAAAAAAGCGACCGTTTATGCTGCAACAGTCAGGTATATATGCCCGGAATTGAGCGTATCCGAAGCCCAACCAACGGTATACGAAATTCCCGAAGAATTGCACATGGATATACTGGACTCCTTGCATGGATTTTAAGCAGTGGTCGTTTTTTATTTTGACTATTAATCCACATTTATTGGTCAAAATCCAAAATTATTTTTATGCATGTGTTTCTGCTAATTGCCAAATTGGTTCAAATTTATAAATTTGCGTGCACCACACGTGCATGTAGCTAGATCATGCCGTTGTCCGCATATCATGTCGATGATATTCATCACACTTTTGTACTTATAGTTCTAGCTACAGTAAATGAACAAATTTTAGTCACAGATTAAGTACAGCATTCCTATTAGACACCGAAATACTTGTAAATAGTCGTCGATTAACACCTTGTTAATGTTATCCATAAATGTTAATTATCTCGTGACAGCAATTTTAATAGCTTTACATAGACAATATAGTCAATTTGGAAAAGGCCTTGTGAATACTTTGATTAAAGTTCTACCTATGTTATGTACTCTCATGGGTAACATCTCTGTTCTGTGTACTGTATTTCAATAACGATTTATATATATATATATATATATATATATATATGTATATGTATATGTATATGTATATGTATATGTATATGTATATGTATATGTATATGTATATGTATATGTATATGTATATGTATATGTATATGTATAAGTGCAAAATGAACTCATTGAAAATTGTAGCCAAGCACGAATATAGACTTATGTTATGAGAAAGTATGGAGCGCACCCTGACTGATACCAGAATATAGAGCTTTATCTAAAGAATATTAATATGACTTATACGAGACCCATTCAGCCATTGTAATTTGCTTGAATCATCCTATAGGTAAATAAAGATACTCATTTCAAACCAAAATAGTAGTTACTATGAAATTTATTAAAAGATTAAATAACACAACTCAATATGCAAAACTATAAAAGCAAATATGGTTATAATATTTACAAGTTGGGATAAGCCCGCCGAGCTAGAGACCGATTTATTACTCGGATTTTACAAGCTAATTATTAGATTATTGGAAGCTTATAAAATACAAGTCATTTCTACTTGATTACCGTATCTGCGGCCACCAGCTTTGAAACGGCCCATAACAATAGTTTAAGCGAACTAGATAAACAAGCATTTTATTCATGGGTGTCTTTGCGGCTAGAACAGTACTTTCTCATGTGAGTGTTCATTGCCTTTATAGCGTCACCCCATGAATAATTCGAATAAAACCTTTCGTAGCCTTTTTTAATTTTCATTAAAACATCTGTACGTAATCCCTTTGAGTTGGGCCCTGCTCCATGCACAGTACAGTTCATGCGTTCTTCAGGCGTTGTGTACTCTTTTAACAAAATCACTGCGAAATGCGCATCTGTTGTCCCTTGTTTTTTCTTGAAATTCTTCAGAGCTTCGAGCTCTTCCATCATCAATTCCTTGCTGGTAGTGTCGTCAGCAGCCGGTGGATTGAATTGAGGGTTCCGATTCTGCTCAGCTGCTATAGAGACCGGTGTCCTGCTAGTGGGTGGACGGTTTAGAAAGCCGTTGGCGTTGTGTTGGAGGCAATCCATTATAAATCTTTGGTTTGCCAACACCATATCAACCTTTTGTGAAAGATTGTCAATTTTCGTATTTATTTGGTCAACAATTAGGGGGTTCTCTGCTTGACCAGGCAATGTGTTGTTGTGGAAAGTATTTGGGCCGCGAGAACGAGGAAAGGTTTCTTGTAGCGAAGAAGATGTGAGAAAACCAGACTGAACAGGAGTAGAGACCCGAGGCTCTGATGTCCCCTCGAACTCAAAAGAGAGATTATTAAAAGACGAAACATCAATTGTTTCCATGTTTTTAGATGTGCCATGTAACTCACTTAAAAAAGTGGAATATGGTAGACTATGTTCAGAAGTTACATCGAGAGTTAAGGGAGCTAAGGGTTGTGGGTCAGAATTCATGGTTGAAGGGACGAATGACTGAACTGTGGAATGAGACGATGACGTTACCAAAGGGAAAGCAGAAAAGGTATAATGATTGTTTGAAACAGTTAAAGTTCGTGGAACAGAAGTGATGGACGTTGTGACGGTGGGTAAAATAGATGGAAAATTGTGGTTTGAAACTGACAAAATAGGAAATATGTTGGAGGTGCTTGAATGGGAGGTTTGTGTTGTTGAAATTGTGTAAGAGTTAGAAGCTGTTGAAGAATCTGAGATAGATAAGGAAGGAACAATGGGCACAGCAGTTGAAAGATCACTGTCTTGAACAACGATTGCAGGTAGAGTAGGTGAAGTAGCAGACAAGGATGGAACAGTAGGATTCTTGGTTGCAATGGTCGTTAGTTGTACATCAGTGACAGAAGAATCAACAGAGGATGAAATAGTTGAATGGCTATTGGGAGTTTGATCGTGAGTAGTAGCATTGATTTTTTGGGTGGAGGTGACGACCGGCAAACTCCCTAGTCCCGTTTTCTTTTTAGGCTTTGGCTCAGATAATTTATCTGCCCGACGTTTTCTTCTCCATGTTTGGACGATATCTTTATCTTCCGCAGTCATCGGATCATTAAAAGTTCCGATAACTTCATTTCTTCTTTTCTCCAACCTTTTCAAGTCATCTGTAATAAGAAAATGACAATTGAATATCTTCTTTCAATTTGTTTGCATGCAGTTACCATGATAAATCTACTTTTACTGCTTCTATATATCAGACATTAATACAAAGCATGTAACAAATAATACACAACAATTCAATAAAAATATAGAATACATACCATCCAGTAAGATAATCTTAGCTGGTAGATCTGGGTTTTTCTTATCCCAGTAAAGCCGAACCATGTTCCCTTCACCAACTGCCCCCTCCTTGATCAAAGACGTCTTACACGGCTCCAGTGAATTATCAAGGGGAAAGAAACACAACGCAAATTTTTTTGGTTGTAAACTTGCTATTTGATGTCTTGATGTAGTCATGTCAAACTGTTTTTACACTGACTAAGAAAAGATTTTGTTTGTACCAATTAAAAATTGCTCGTACGCGTAGCGTTTGAAAAACGTGAATGAAACTTCGCCTCGGAAAGACCAATTTTGTGCGACTTACGCCTTTTCCTTATTATCTACGCATTTCCTTGCTCGGTTGACAAAAAACCGGAAAAAAATATTTTACATGTCATAGCGCTTAACGATAAACCCGGCAAAAAGGAAACGATGTGGTGGCACGCAATGCAGGTTTATATATACATAGGCTAAACTGAAACTCTGTAACTTATGCATGTAAGATCAAAAGTTTTTAAATAGATATTTATATACTCTATATATATGCTCTCTTTACTTTTAAAATTATTGCTTTGTGAATTGTCTAACTCTTCGTTCTGACCTTGTGTAAAATTTTGTATTTTGTAGAACTTCTTGTTTTGATTTACACCCATACGCATATATAGTTCCTGGCTCTGTTGATTCAGGTCGATTATGATGCCAAACATGATTTCATACACGCAAGAAAGTTCACGATCGCGTGTTCGGGTATACTCTGCCGTATATAAGGAGACTAAATTTACGACAATTTCACTTTACATATTTTGGCGCCTATTTAGTGCAAGGAATTCAATTTTTATCATATAGCTAAGGTTATATAAAGTCCACTGATATAATATACAAGCAATATCACTTATAGTTATATATAGCTATATTGCTAAATTTCTTTAGTAAAGCTGCAGTCTGCAGAGTGCCAAACACGCGACAAAAATTGAAAAATATACGCATGCATGGTAACGCACGGCGAAAATTTAGAAAATTGCCGGGTTTTTTTAATATTAAAACCGATGCAGTGTTAAATATGCACGCTTACGAACGGCTATTATTTCAATTTATTTGTGCCGGTCGGCAAATGCATGCGGCATATGTTTATCGCCTACATGGATATACTTGGCTTATAGGCAGGAACTCTGCCATGCCAAGACCGTGCGTTTAAAAAGTGTGAATAAAACTTCGCTACAGGAAGACCAATTTTGTGCGACCGCTGTAAGACAGACGTATGTCCCTATATTTGACAGAAAAAATTTACATAAGCGCTTATCACGATAAACCAGGCAAAAAGGAAATGATGCGACGACACGCAATGCACGCGTAGGCTATATATATATATAATATATATACATAAAAGTCAACTTTAAAAATATATTTTTCTACTCTCTTTACTTTTAAAATTATTGCTTTATATAACTCTTCGTTCTGACTTTGTGTAACAACTTTCAATAAAATTTCGTTGCGATATTAAAATACCAAGCACTTCTTGTTTTAATTCACACCTATACGCATTTTGCCCCTGGCACTATCGATTGTGATGCCAAAGATTAATCCCATACATGCACGCAAAAAAGTTCACGATCGCCTGTTCGGGTTTATGGCCTAATATTTTAAATAATAACGAGTCAAACTGATGCACTAAAATTTTTGGCCATATCACTTTAGTACTTTACACAATTGGCGACTAAACATAATGTCCAATGATATATTACATGCAAACGCGTTTAAAATTTCGGTCGTATAACAAACGTACTGAATGATGAAACAACATTATTATATAGACTACATCAGTTCTCAAAGCATCATGATGCAGTAACCCAGATACCGTACTTATTTTACTAATATTGCTAAACTTCTTTAGTAAAGCAGAGTGCTTAACACATAACAAAACTACGCACGGTAACGCACGGTTATGCACGGCTATATCTTTTTGAAAATTTTTGACATTTTTTTTAATCAAGCAAAGTGCTAACTACGCACGGTAACGCACGCTTACGCGTGGTTATCTATTTAAATATTGTGCCGGTCGGCGAATGTTTACCGCTTGCATAGATATATGACACTAGGCACGGTCAAGCGTGCCTTATTAGTTTAGGCAGTCTCAGCCGTGCCTAAGCGTGCGTAAGAGTGCTTTACGCACGCTTAGGCACGGCAGAGCGTGATGTTACGGCTTTGGGTATCAACACCATGCACACAGCCAATGCTAATAAGTCTATTAGCGTTTTTGTTGTGGACGTAATTCGTGTTGGTTCATTAATCAATTGCTCAAATTGAAAAGGACATTATTGTACTCTTAAATGAAACACCTACACATTATATGTACTCTTAAATGAAATGGAATGCCTCTGTAAGACTTATAGTAAAGTAAATATATACATTGCCTTTTGTGCTTTATATTGGAATATGGATATATATAGTATGGCACAGTAGTGTTCCAAACTATTCGGCTGAGAAGATTGAGCTGCTTCAACATATCTTATTAGTGGAATAATTTATCCTCATTTACACTATAGTGAAGCACCAGACTTTACTGGATGCAACAGTCTCATAGCCAACTGCCAAAAACTTTGTGTAATGTTTTAAGAACAGTAAAACTAATACTAAATTGTCTGATCTTGTCCCTAACTGATGGCTGGATGAGAATGGATTATGTCTTCAAAATAGAAATGATCTCAGGGGCCGATTACATGGAGCATTTTCAACCCCGGGGTTGAACTCAGCCCTGTTTACCGGGTTTGAAATTTCAGCCCTGTCTGTAATACAAAACTCTATCAAAATCAAATGCGTGATTACATGCCAAAATTTTCAACCCAGGGCTGAGTTCAATCCCGGTGTTGAAATGTCAACCCTGCTTCAGCTAGATGGTTGAAATTTCAACCCGGGGTTGAACTCAGCCCTGAGTTGAAAATTTTGTCATGTAGTCGTTTCAATCCAGGGCTGAAATTATCACGAGTTATTCGAGCATGCGTAGTGACTATTTATTACAAGAAAACAGAATAAAGCCTTTTTTACTTCCGCGAATCGATGCCGAGAACATATATTATAGCGTATCAACCCCGGGGTTGAAATCGTCCATGTAATCGCAAAAAATTTCAACCCAGTTAACAGGGCTGAGTTCAACCCCACGGTTGAAAGTTCTCCATGTAATAGTTCTCCTTACTTTATACAATGCAACACAGAATGTTTTCCCTTTTACGACCAAACTAAATAAGCAATTTTCATAGTTCTTAACTTTTGGTATGATTTTATATATATATATATATATATAATTAATAAATCCAAATATTTAGTAACAATGGATTTATCAAATTAAATAGAGTGCTGTTGCATCATCCACTTCATCACACAAAATTCTATTAGAATTAATGCTGGTTTGCTAAATGATGGAGAGCAACTATGCATTGATCTATCTAACTGGACCATTTCTGTTGCAACAACAACTGTTATCATCTAAATCATGTGTTGCTGTGGTATCAGGAACAAATTACATTGTGTCTGGCCTTTCTGAAGGCAATTTTAAGTGTTACTGGAAGGTCAAATAGTATGAAGGTTCCATAACTGAGCCATAATGGCAGGGTTGTTATTAGATGGACCAACTTCTAACCACAATATTTGATGTGTGTAGCCATCTATGGTATGGATACAAAATCCAAAAGGTTTCAGTTTATCGTAACCATTAATATGCCAAATGTAGCTGGGTGATTTGTATGTATATCTCCATCTTTTTAAACAATTTGTAGCATTTGTTTCAGATTTTCTCGTGAAACCCTCACAAAAAAAGTCTATAGGCCTGGCCTATAGGCCAACCTATAGGTTCCTATAGGAAACCTATAGGTTTTTATAGGCAAGTGGAACATTTTCTATAGGTGACCTATAGGGCTCTATAGATGCCTAAAGGCTTCTATAGGGAATTGGAACATTTCCTATAGGCCACCTATAGACTTTTTTCGTAAGGGAATTACCAACCTGTGACAATCACATAGGCCATGTTGTTTTAAAATATGTTTCAGTTACCGAGTATTTCTATACCATGTTCAGCAATCAGAAAGAGGCTTATTTCTTTGTTCAGCAATCAGAAAAAGGCTTATTTCTTTGTTCTTTCATCCAAGATGAAAGTACCTTTCAATCAACATTTTTTTTTTTTTTAAACAAGTGTGTGTTTTTATTTTCTAAAAACATTTTGTGTTTTCTCAGGAAAAATGTTTGTATTTCTATGGCACTTCTGGGGCTCCATAGAAATTCCATCTATGCATGGATAGGAATGAGTGTTTTAATTCATTTCTCACCACCCCAGGGTGTAGCTGCAAATTATTAACTTTTAACAAACGGCCTGGCTTACACTCCTTTAACCCTTTTAGAGGCGGATTTTTTTTTATTTTCATACCCGGCCGGGCGAATTAATTTGAAAAATTTATTGTTAAGTGGCACATCATAACAACACATTTTATAAGGCACATATAACACCTGAATATGTTTTATTTCTCTATAAATGAATAATACATACCACAAAGTTGCCATTAGTTCACTATTTCACATCATGAGTGATACTTTGGAAAACAGGCTTTGCACAAACCTACACCACAGTCCTTGCACCATGTGGAAATGCGGGAACCTTTTAATCCAACTTCACGCTTCTCAGTACACATTTCTTGCGTTTTTTATCAGGAATAGTTTCCAAAAAATGCCTTGCTGTCAGTCGTGCTTCAGGGGAACCAAGACTTGGTCTCCCAACTCTTGTTCGAGGTTCCTCATAACTGCCAATAAGTCCCTCAACGAGCCTAATCATAAACTGAAGATGTGTCATCTTCTTTTTGGCTGGTGTTGGATCATTGATATTGTTTTTGTAGCATATGTATGTATGCATTTGTAACTGTTCTATCGAACAGATGGACGACAACTTTGCACCAACATTTCACAGTTCCTAGTTCCGCACTATAATGGTCTGTCATCTGGTCCGAAACATCGATGCCACCCATACCAGCATTATACTCAGTGATAACATTAGGGACTACCTTGGTTGTACATCTTTTTGTAATCTCAACAGTGGCAGTTGAAGCAAAGGTTGATACTTGTTTATGATCTACCCAGCCCAATGCAAGCATTTGTCCCTTACGTACTGCAGTAACTTCACCTTTCTTCTATTTTTCTGCACCAGAGGAGGGAGATTTCGCCAATTTCTTCGAATGGTACCAGTAATGTAGATTTCCTTCAATAACATCTGCTCTGCCAGATCAATGCTTGTGTAGTAGTTGTCCACAACCAAGTGATGATTCTTACCACCATGGTTAGCTAGAAGTTTGTCACACACATCATAGGGTTGGCCAAATTTGCTTTTCTTCGCTCCAGTTGTGTGATACATTGTCTGATGAACATAACCAGTTTTCGAATCAGCAAGGTTGTACTCTTTTGGCCCCCACTGGTGATGTTTTTTATTTTGATATAATTTACTAAAACATGTCTCCCTTTAAAACCAACTATTACAACTATTACAAATTACAAGATATTACAACTATTACAAATTACAAGATGTAGTAACGACAGTAAACAATGACATTTTCATGGTTGCTACTTACTTAAGTAACAATTGCCTGCTTGCTAACCTGGATAAAACGAAGATTATGTTCTTTGGAACACAGCAGATGCTGAAACACATTCCAGCCGATACCTCATTTACGTTTCTCGGGAAAACTGTACAACCAGTCCAAAATGCCAAAGATCTTGGCTTAATTATGGACCCAAGTCTATCTTTTGATGAACACATCAAGCAATCGGTATCATCTTGCATGAAGAAACTGCATCAAATAAATAGAGTCAAGAACTTATTTAGGCAATCAACTCTGGAAATGATAATACAATCTTACGTCTTTTCCAAGCTGTTTTACTGTTCCACTGTTTGGTCCTCAACGAGTCAGAAGAACATTTGTAAACTTAAGACGGTGCAAAATTTTGCTGCACGCATAATGACAGGATCTCGTAAATACGACCATATAACACCTGCTTTAAAGCAACTGAAATGGCTTCCCGTTGAGAATATCTTGTATCTCCGGGATTGCGTTATGATGTAAAAATGTATGAACAAGTTAGCACCTGATTACCTATGCCAAAAGTTTGTTACTCATTCTGAAATTAGTAATCGCATAACACGGCAGAGTAAACAACTACATAAACCTCTTTGTAGAACTTCTAAAGCTCGAAAGTCTTTTTTATACAGGGCTTCCACAATTTGGAATAACCTTGATGACTCACTAAAATCTAGAATGACAGTCCAAAGTTTTAAACTTAATATAAAGAAAAATCTTCTCACGGATTTCTTAAATAAGTAATCCTCTGCAAATGTAAATTTGAACCAATGTTCCATATTGGATTTTTTAGATATCATAGCATATTCATAAACTTAAACCTTTGTAAATATAGCGATATATAGTTAGTAATATTAAGAAGTACTGTAAATTAGAGCCTGAAAAGCCTCTCGAGGAGCATCTAATAAATCATGTATGTATGTATGTAACTATTGTTTCATCAATCAAAATATCACAATGAAGGTTGTGCCCATGTAGCATTCAGGTGTTCTAAGACGTGACGGAATTTGTACTGGGGATCATATCCTGCTGAGCCGGTGGGGCAAACAGTGGTTTAATATGCAGCGTTGAAACACTTTGGACAAAACACAAAGGAGAGAAATTGGTCTATAGTTATCGGGCAACGTTGGATCATCTTTTTTGTGTACAGGGGTTATATTTGCCTTTTTCCAATCCTTGGGCACTGTGGCAAGCACAAGTGACATGTTGAATAAACGACATAGGTTTGGTGATATTGCTGCTGCAGTGCATTTAAGTAGCCTCTAAGGAATACCGTTCGGTCCACTGGCTTTATTTGGGTCTAGGTTCGAAAGTAGTTCACACACTTCAGTAACACTTATTTCAATATCACATAATTGGTGGTTAGAGCTAGATTGTACAGGAGCACAATTGTCCTGTGCAGGTGTTGTAAATACTGAATGGAAATAACGGTTTAAAAGACTGGCTTTATTGACACTATCTGTGACAATTGATTGTCCATCACAAAGAAAATTAGTTGAAGGGTGCTTCGTAGTTGATGTTTTCACAAGTGCCCAAAAACGTTTAGAATTAGTACTGAATGAAACTTTAAGTTTGCGTGTGTGATCCTCATTTTTCAGTAAAATGAGCTGCTTGGTCTTACGTCAAATTTCCTTAAACTTAAACATATCGCTTAAACATATTTCTTGTTTTAAGTGCTTTCTTCCGACACCAATTGTTATGTTTAATGGTTTTTAATAATTCATCATCGGTGGTCACAGGTATTCTTAACACGCCACTCGGTCCCATCTATGAATGGTGAACTCTAAATTTGACAAGAATTTGCTATCTAGTATGCATGGTTTCAGCCAGGTTTCTGTCACAGCGACAATGTCCACATCGCAAGCAAGCGATTGAAGTTTGTCTATCTTGTGTACCAAACTTCTAGCGTTAAGATATAAACCGCAAGTAGAGCGTTTGTCAGAGTCCATACCTGGTCCAGGGTTTGGATGTATGTTGATAAGAATTTTGTTGAACGAGAGACATGCTACATGATTACTATAGTAGGCAATTCGTCGTTTAAAGTAAGATCTTCGATGGCTGACACCAATATTGCTGAATTTCAATGTTTGCATTACAGTAAACGGTTCCAAAAATGCATCGTCATTCGCCTGAGATGATAAAATATTAGCGAAAAGGCCATTAGAAAATAGACCAGCAAAAATAGCAGTAGAAATGAGCAAAAGTGATAAAGCATGAATTGCTATGTTAGCCACATTCTTGATTGTGTTTCAAAACGGAAATACCTGCACACGTCCACTTGTGTAGTTTGTCGTGCATTACTATATTTCTGTAGCTGCTGAAAAAAGTTTGTTCAAAAATCGTGCATTAAGCTATAACTAACAGCTGTTGTGGAATTTATTGATTAGCCACACATAAGAATCCTGTGGATTGTCGCAAAATAGCACGCCATCCCAGTTTACATTTTTAATATCTTTTAATAAAAGTTGAGTATTATAATCATTGAAAATTCTTGTTTCATAGTATTTTTCTTTCGGATCTTCACTGTATTCTAGACTACTCAAAGAACACTTATGAAGTACTGGTAGATGGTCTGAGATATCACTAAAAAGAATGCCATTTACGCTTGAATTAATTTTCTATGTTATTTGTGAAGATATTATCAATAAGTGTAGCAGTGTGTGAAGTCATACGAGTGGGTAAAAGGAGGATGTAAAAAGTTGTTCAGTAAATTTATTTGCAAAAACACATGTTCTGAGTTTAATAAAGTTTAATAAATCAATATTAAATTCTCCTATGAGGTAACAAATTTTATTTTCCTTATCTATCTTGCTTAAGATTTTGTTTATTGCATTTTCAAACAAATCATATTTGTTATTCGGTGGCTGATATATTACTCCCACAACGATATGTTCCCCAATTTTTGTTGCTATTTCAACCACAGTTAATAGAAGGGGGATGGTTAGACTAGTGTACCACGTGACAAAATATGTTATTGTCCACTTTTTATTTTGATCATGTGACCAATAAGCGGTATCAGACGCTCAAAGCTCAAATTATATTCATGAGCGAACATACAGCTGTTTAACTGTGTATTTCTTCCACTGTTTACTTCGCTGATTCAAACTATTATATTAAGAGGAGTTCTTGGGCATATGGGTGGCGGTAATTGCGCCTTTTTTGGCTGTCCGACTAGCGGAAAGCACAAGCTTTCGCTGTTCAGAATCCCTTCAGCAAAGTCTGTTGATGGCGAATATACGAAGGAATTGAAAGCTTGCGAAGCATGGCTTCGCTTGATCCTCAGAACACGGGAAACGACGGAAGAAGTGAAACAGAGAATTGAGGCAAGCGATATTTTTGTTTGCGAGCTGCATTTTAAACCAGAATGTATCGTAACTGGTAAGTATTTGTGGCCTATATTTTTGTGATATATTTCTTTGTAGGGACAGCTGTTTATACAATAATATAGTCAAATATTTAACATAAAGGACGCATTGTTCATGAATATTTATATTATTTGCTACTGTATAAACTGAATCTAATTTGCATGTTAGGAAAAAGAAAAACATTGGTTATGGGCAACATCCCGACAGAGAACCTGCCACAGAAAAGCCACGAAGCCACCGATCTCTTGTGAGGAAAGTTGACAATGCTGTCGTTGAAAAGCCAACAACGTCAACATCGTCTCGGATCAAGCCACGATTTGCCGATATGGAGGATTTTACAAGGCAGCTTGACCAGATGACAACTGAGCCATGGCAAATTGACAAATCCTACGAGGGTGAGATACGGATCGAGTTTTACGACAAGAGTCATTGTGCTCCTAATTACAGTGTTGTTGTGAATTCATCTCTGGAATTCACTATATTTGTATTCAGCTGGCCACTACCTGACCACCATCTAATTTATAAGGAACATAAATGTGCTATTTAGGTATTTGGACGTACACGAGCTGTTGCAAACGATAGAAAATTCCAGATTTTGCCAAATTCCGCTTGCAGCAAATGCAGACAAAGATCGAGCAGCAAGGGATTGGGATTAGCGAAAGCTTGGAGGACATTCTCAAAATCATGGGAGGACAAAGCCTCGAAGCAACACCCCACATGAAGTTCTTTTGGTAGGAACAAATGAAATTGTTGCAATCAGCCAAAATGGGTAGAAGGTACCACCCCCAAGTAATCCGCTTTGCTCTTTCCATTCATGGGAAATCTCCATCCGCTTATAGAGAACTACGAGACAGCGGCGCCCTTATTCTCCCAAGTGAGAGAGTTCTTCGGGACTATAAGAACCATTTCAACCGAAAGCTTCAACAAAGAGAACGTCGAAACCTTACGAGAAAAAAACTCATCTTTCACTCCTGTACAAAGATATGTAGTGGATGAGATGAAGATACAATCAAATCTTGTTTTTGATAAAGTGTCTGGGGAACTTATTGGCTTCATCGATTTGGGTGACCCCATGACTAACTTTGCCAATCTCACTGATGAAGATCCAATTGGGACACATGCCTTGGCATTTCTTGTGAGGGGATTACGCACTGATTTGAAGCCTATTATTGCATATTTCTTCACAGGAAATGTCATGTCATTCCATATAATGCCTCTCTTCTGGAGAACTGTAGCTGTGCTGGAGGTGTCCCTCAATCTTCATTCCAAGTTGGCCAATGAAGTGAATTGTGATGTTGTGTATAAAACACCAAACATTTTTGTACCATCGCGATTCATTTTCTTTTTTGCTGATTCTCCACATCTCATAAAGACAGCCTGTAACTGCCTGTACTATTCTGGGTATCGAAGTCGCAGTCGTCTTATGTGGAATGATGGGCAGTATCTGATATTTCAACGCATAGCAGATCTCTTGTACAGCGACCAAGATTTTTCTCTGCACACCCTCCTGAAGCTGACCTTAGATCACATTGTGTTGACCTCTTTCAGCAAAATGAAAGTTAAATTAGCAGTCCAGGTCCTCAGCAAGTCAGTCAGTCGCCATTGCTCTGCGAGAGAGTGGTAAAGAGGATGTCACCAGTACCGCCCAGTTCTGTGAAATGATGAATGGGTTCTTTGACTGTACTAATGTGAGGTCACTGACCGAGGACATCAGGAAAAAGAATTCATTCATCATGCCATATGAGTCCCCTGAAGATGAGCGATTGACATGGTTGAAGGATGTTTTCCTCAACTACCTGGAAAGCTGGAAACAGAGTACTCTGACATACGAAAGAGAGTACACACCCGATGCCAGACAGAAAATGTTTATCTCTTTCCAAACGTATGAAGGCCTGAAGATTGCTGTGAACTCTCATGTTGATGCAATTAAATTTCTGCTCACTGCGGGATTTAAGTATGTCCTTGCAGAGAGATTTAAACAAGATATTCTCGAAGATTACTTTGGTCACCAAAGAGAGAAAGGAAGAAGGACAGATAATCCAACTACCCAGCAGTTTGGATACAATGATCTGACAATAGCTTCCCAACGAGACATTGCTCCAGTGATTAGAGGTAATGTTGGTGGAGGTTACGAGAAAGTGAAATGGCACCAGGTGAGCGTGGAACCAGTAAAAAAGCGTCGTAACTTGGGCAGGTCAGGCAGTAACTGTCAAAAAAGGAAAAGGCAAAATTTTTATACAATACTGTGTGCATAACCTGGTTGCCAGAGCTAGGGTCTTGGTTCTATTTTATGCCCTATTATCATACCATTATAATAATAGGGCAGAAAATATAATCTAGAACCAAGGTTATATGAACCTCTGACAACCAGGGTATGCACACAGTATTTTACAAAAATTACTCAAATACTATAAGTCAAATATATACTAAAACTTGCAATTGGAAACTAATTCCAATCAATTGACAAGTCTGCTGTATAAGCAGTCTTATTGATAAAGGCACACCGAGTCACAGTCTGAGCCATGTTATTCAAGTGTCATATCAGCTAATCACAAATTGCCAACTTGAATTTGTTCTGGATTTTTTGGAGTTTGAGTAGAAAACATATCATAATAAGTAACATTACTCGAATGTTGACTGTGTGCCTGTAAAATTAAATACATGTTTGCACTATTGACACATATAATTACAGTTAATAGAAACTGTATATTTTATTAATTATGTTTACATTATATATAATTGTAACAGTGGACAAACTAGTCTGTTACAGTTTTTTAATATTATGTGACAGTTTTTTATAATTAAATATTATACACTAAATTTTTGACAATTATACACTGTGACACTGTCCTTTCTTCAATTCAGGTAATGAAATTTTATATTAATGAGCAATGATAATATCATTTGTGTTGGTGCCATTTCAACAAGATAATCTAATCTTTTATTGAATGTGGCACGAACATGGCTGCTGTTGCAAGTGAGGAATACGAGGTAGTACTTTGTTGCATGCAAGTTCAACATGATCACACTTCATGTTGAATTGAAAGCAATTCTTGGGTTATACTCAATCTTGTTCCCCGAGCCTGCGATCCTCGGGAAGGAATGCAAGGCTCTGGGATAATCCGTTGCCGGAAGCCAGGAATCCTGGCTAAGACCAAACTATGCATTCTATATCAACGGCCAATCAGATTCCTCCCTGAAATGGATTATCCCAGAGCCTCACGTTCCTTCCCAAGGATCGCAGGCTCGGGGAATGAGATTGGGGTTCTACTATGGCATTTTGCAGTGAATCTGATGGGGGGGAGGGGGGTCAACCTAAAATGTATTGATGCTTATGCTGTACTGAACAAATGATACGAAATTGCACATATTTGCCACCAAACACAAGGCCAACACATACAGTGAACAATTAATTCACTCTGATGACTGTGTCTCGATTTAGAGTTGACCCCCCCCCCGTCAAATTTATGACGTCATATGAAACCCAAGAATAGAACTTCTAAACTATGGCTTCTCATCACACGGGGTCATATTAAAAACCTTCTCATCACACAGGGTCATATTAAAAACCGTGTTTCTAATACTGTGGCATTGTAATTTGTAACATGGTTCATAACTTATAGTTTATCATTTATGCACATATCAATGTTAAACCCCAGAAGGGGGGGGTGTGTGGTCGGGCATATGTGGGGTATTTGATCATCAATTGCATCCCCACCCTGGGGATTTTGATTAGCATTTTGGCCCCGAGTTGAGGCAATTTGAACCGAATAACTTTTATTAATATAGTATTTGACCAATATTTATTGCCCGACAGTGGGGCATTTGATTGAAAATTTGCTAAAAAAATCAAATGCCCCACCTATGCCAGACCCCTCCCCCCTCTGGGGCTTAACATTGATAGGTGCATTAATCACAGTGATTTAATGGTTTTTGCTTCGTTTTAAGTCCTTTCGTAACGATTTACTTTTCGTCTGTTTTTCCTTTATTTTATATTTGCTAATATAGTCCCTTGCATAGGAAAATGAGCGAACACGAATATACAATTTCACAATATTTTCCAAGCATAACTTCTGCGTAGAGCTTGATTCTTCTATGCCAGATTCCAGCACAATGTTCTCCCACAGTGATTTGACGACTGGAGAGCTTAATGTTGACTCGCAAATGATCTCGGTAGGTATATTTCTCAACACTAGTTCGCCTTCACCAACATTTTTCCTGAAGCAAATCTCGGCTTTTTCCACGATACCCATAAGATGATGGCTAGGAGAAACAAGACCTCCTCTGCTACACTCTTAAAAATAGGTGTGCTATAGTAACACACCTTTTCTGTCGCCAAAACAGCACACCTTAAGGTGTGCTACGGTAACACACCAAGGTGTGCTACAGTAACACAACAAAAGGTGTGTTAGCGGCTTGTCGCCAAAACAACACACCTTTAGGTGTGTTACTAAGAAAGGTGTGTTAGGCAGCACGCAAAGGTGTGTTATTGTTGCTCAATGGTGTGTTATAGTAGCACACCTCAAGGTGTGTTGGTTAGCATAACTTAAGGTGTGTTAATATAACACACCTTACAAGGTGTGCTAATACAACACCATTGAAAGATGTGCTAATACAACACACCTTACAAGGTGTGCTAATACAACACACCTTACAAGGTGTGCTAATACAACACCCTTGAAAGATGTGCTAACACAACACACCTTACAAGGTGTGCTACTACAACACACCTTAAAAGACGTGCCAGTTTAACACACCTTTGAATGTGCTATATAACACACCTTTGAAAGTGCCAAAATGCACAAGATATAAAAACATGAAAACTGAAAAGGATGCACTTCACTGGTAACAATTTAATGCAAATAAATCTTTCTATCACATTAAATCTTTCTATCAATAAGTTATATTGTCCCAGATAGATACAGTCCCTTAAATTACGGAATAAAGTTTAAAGGGATATGGCAATATAAAAGTTTATTGTCCCATTTGTAAGAACTTTTAAAATTATATGTAGGGATGAGCCGATAAGGAAAATTGCCGATTACTGAGGCCGATTATTTATAAGCCGATTACTGTAACTAATCGGCCGATTAATCGGTACCCACCCATTATTTTAAAAAGCAAGCGAAAAATCACAAGATGACCAACAATAAAGTTGTAAATGCGGTTTTATTGTTTACAATACACACTTTGTACAATTAAAAACAGCTTCAGTCTCGCATGTCAGTAGTCAAAGTTTAGTTTTGGCAGATTATGGTGTAAAAACAAGACATTGTCAGCTATGCGGAGCTAGTCTGCTGCGTTTTTTTAGTGGAAATGTTCCCTGCTTCACTTCGTTTGAGACAAAAGACACAGGTTTTGCAACAAAATGTGAAAATCTATTCGCTTGTATTCAGTATCTTAGCATGTGATTGGCAGCTGCAGAAAAAGTCTTATGGCCGATTATCAGGCAATAATCGGCCGATTACCGATTATTTAGAAAACGGCCGATTAATCGGCTTTGCCGATTATTTACCGATTAATCGGCTCATCCCTAATTATATGTTAATTTTTTTTACCGATTTTTAATATCTTGCATAGTTCTGGAAATATTTTTACATACAATGACTGAAAACAATGGAATGTCCGACATCTTGGATTATTTTTTATCTCATTAATGCTGGTTTTAGGTGACGCCACAAGTAGGGTTAGCCATATAAAAGGACCCCTTGGTGGTTAACGTTTAAAATGTTTGCAGATATTTTGTTATTTCAAAGAGTATCCAGAGAATAATTTTCAACTCATAAGGTTCAGTTGTTTTCAAGCAATATCTGCAAAAATCCAAGATGGCGACATCTCATTGCTTTAAGTCAAAATATTTCAAGAACTAAGCAAGATATAAAAAAAACGGTAAAAGAGTTTAACATATAATTTTGAAAGTTCTTTCAAATGCGAAAATCTAATTTTATATTGCCATATCCCTTTAAGAATAAAGAAATACAATGTATACTTAAGCTAAATTACTGTCCCTTCTACGCATGAACGGGATTTGTATTTACACTTCTTGTTTTGATACACTTTAGCTGCATGTTCCCATGTACATGTACTTAGCATGAATATAAGCTAAAAAGTTACATGATGAATTAGTCTTAAATTTTGCCAAAAATCTTTTTTTTGAGACAAGCAATGAAATATTTTCGAGAATCAAATGTATGGCTTTCCCTTTGCTTGCCTCGTTCAATAACTCTTAAAGGTGAAACCGAAATTGTAAAAAGTGTGTACACATTTCCTTAAGTATTTTTTCCCTGCTACTCTGAGTGCAGTTCACACAGGGCAAGCTGAAACACCGGGGTGGGATTCGAGCTGTTTTTCAGCTTGCGCGGTGTGGACTGTACTAAGAGTAGCAGGGAAAAAATACTTATAACACCTGAGTACAAAATGCACCACCACAATCAGAGTACATTTCCTTACGTTTTTGCGACATGCATAGAAGGGAATAAAATGTAATCGACTTGTAACTTCAAGTTCACTGTCGGTGAACATCGCATTGCAGTTCAGCAACGAAAGACGAGTATTTAATGGATTGCTGTGTGGTGTCTGATACATCTAACGCGAAATCCTGGAGGAAGTAGAGGATACCTGACATTTGATCAGGGTAATTTATGTGGAAGACGTAATAGCTTGAAATGACGTCGACTAAAGCTTCAAACAGGTCCGTGCTGCTTTCGAAGAACGTCGTCCGGTGTGACGAGTACCACCAGTTTAAACTGGACCGCTTGTCTTCAAGCAAATTCTTGGGCTTACTCGATGGCTATAGCGAAGAGAATACATAATGGTAGAGTTTAAGGAAAAACTTTTTGCATACACTGCCCTTACAAACGTGTATAGAAACTATCTCTAACTCAGCTACCAAGTGTAATTTGAATATACTTACATCGTTGAACTTAATTAGTGATCCCCTTTTTTTCATTGTTTTCGTTTCAATGAATGAAACAGCGTCAGCAACATCTTTATTCGCCAGTTCATCCTTCCGTAGATCTTTTTTAATACCTTTTCTCAATCTTTCCATAGACTTCTTTAATGCAAAACCTGGGAGAACTTTTTGCATTTCTTTACGCACCTATACAGAGGATATACGCGACTTTACACAAGTGATTATTGAATATTTTGTCATGAGGCGATTACTACGACATGACATGAGGCGATTTGACATGAGGCGATTACTACGCAATTTTTGTCAATATTGGCAGCAAGCAACCTCGTACCCAGGGCTTATGTGCTTGGTCGCTCTCGTAAGCCCTGAGATAATCAACCTCTTACCCAGGGCTTATGTGCTTGGTCGCTCTGGCAAACCCTGAGATAATCAACCTCTTACCCAGGGCTTATGTGCTTGGTCGCTCTCGTAAGCCCTGAGATAATCAACCTCTTACCCAGGGCTTACATGTATGTGCTTGGTCGCTCTCGTAAACCCTGAGATAATCAACCTCGTACCTACGGCTTATGTGCTTGGTCGCTCTCGTAAGCCCTGAGATAATCAACCTCTTACCCAGGGCTTATGTGCTTGGTCGCTCTCGTAAGCCCTGAGATAATCAACCTCTTACCCAGGGCTTATGTGCTTGGTCGCTCTCGTAAACCCTGAGATAATCAACCTCGTACCCAGGGCTTATGTGCTTGGTCGCTCTTGTAAACCCTGAGATAATCAACCTCTTACCCAGGGCTTATGTGCTTGGTCGCTGTCGTAAGCCCTGAGATAATCAACCTCTTACCCAGGGCTTATGTGCTTGGTCGCTCTCGTAAGCCCTGAGATAATCAACCCCGTACCTACGGTTTATGTGCTTGGTCGCTCTCGTAAACCCTGAGATAATCAACCTCGTACCCAGGGCTTATGTGCTTGGTCGCTCTCATAAGCCCTGGGATAATCCATGGCGATAAAGCAACGTTTTGCCAATGCCACCTTAATGGCGGCTAAGAGATGTGCCATCTCGGCCTTAACACTAATTACACAGAAACTGAACCGAAGCTGTTGTTATTCTCCCTTACAAATCATACAACTAATTGGAAAACCAATGTCCTTTTCAATTATCAAATTATAAAAAATCTACCAAAAATATATGTACTGTAAGTCTGAGAAAAAAGTGTTTATTAAAACTTTCAGCTTCAAGAAAGAACAATTGCTGCATAACAGTGTTACCTGTGTCAAATGAGTCATTTGTCCAGGGCGGCTAAGAGATGTGCCATCTCGGCCTTAACACTAATTACACAGAAACTGAACCAGAAGCTGTTGTTATTCTCCCTTACAAGTCATACAACTAATTGGAAAACCAATGTCCTTTTCAATTATCAAATTATAAAAAATCTACCAAAAATATATGTAAGTCTGAGAAAGAAGGGTTTATTAAAACTTCTAACTTCAAGAAAGAACAATTGCTGCATAACAGTGTTACCTGTGTCAAATGAGTCATTTGTCCAGGGCGGCTAAGAGATGTGCCATCTCGGCCTTAACACTAATTACACAGAAACTGAACCAGAAGCTGTTGTTATTCTCCCTTACAAATCATACAACTAATTGGAAAACCAATGTCCTTTTGAATTATCAAATTATAAAAAATCTACCAAAAATATATGTAAGTCTGAGAAAGAAGGGTTTATTAAAACTTCCAACTTCAAGAAAGAACAATTGCTGCATAACCGTGTTACCTGTGTCAAATGAGTCATTTGTCCAGGGCGGCTAAGAGATGTGCCATCTCGGCCTTAACACTAATTACACAGAAACTGAACCAGAAGCTGTTGTTAGTCTCCCTTACAAATCATACAACTAATTGGAAAACCAATGTCCATTTGAATTATCAAATTATAATAAATCTACACCAAAAATATATGTAAGTCTGAGAAAGAAGTGTTTATTAAAACTTCTAACTTCAAGAAAGAACAATTGCTGCATAACAGTGTTACCTGTGTCAAATGAGTCATTTGTCCAGGGCGGCTAAGAGATGTGCCATCTCGGCCTTAACACTAATTACACAGAAACTGAACCAGAAGCTGTTGTTATTCTCCCTTACAAATCATACAACTAATTGGAAAACCAATGTCCTTTTCAATTATCAAATTATAAAAAATCTACCAAAAATATATGTAAGTCTGAGAAAAAAGGGTTTATTAAAACTTCCAACTTCAACAAAGAACAATTGCTGCATAACAGTGTTACCTGTGTCAAATGAGTCATTTGTCCAGGGCGGCTAAGAGATGTGCCATCTCGGCCTTAACACTAATTACACAGAAACTGAACCAGAAGCTGTTGTTATTCTCCCTTACAAATCATACAACTAATTGGAAAACCAATGTCCTTTTCAATTATCAAATTATAAAAAATCTACCAAAAATATATGTAAGTCTGAGAAAGAAGGGTTTATTAAAACTTCTAACTTCAAGAAAGAACAATTGCTGCATAACAGTGTTACCTGTGTCAAATGAGACATTTGTCCAGGGCGGCTAAGAGATGTGCCATCTCGGCCTTAACACTAATTACACAGAAACTGAACCAGAAGCTGTTGTTATTCTCCCTTACAAATCATACAACAAATTGGAAAACCAATGTCCTTTTGAATTATCAAATTATAAAAAATCTACCAAAAATATATGTAAGTCTGAGAAAGAAGTGTTTATTAAAACTTCTAACTTCAAGAAAGAAAAAATTGCTGCATAACAGTGTTACCTGTGTCAAATGAGTCATTTGTCCAGGGCGGCTAAGAGATGTGTCATCTCGGCCTTAACACTAATTACACAGAAACTGAACCAGAAGCTGTTGTTATTCTCCCTTACAAATCATACAACTAATTGGAAAACCAATGTCCTTTTCAATTATCAAATTGTAAAAAATCTACCAAAAATATATGTAAGTCTGAGAAAGAAGTGTTTATTAAAGCTTTCAGCTTCAAGAAAGAACAATTGCTGCATAACAGTGTTATACCTGTGTCAAATGAGTCATTTGTCCAGGGCGGCTAAGAGTATGTGCCATCTCGGCCTTAACACTAATTACACAGAAACTGAACCAGAAGCTGTTGTTATTCTCCCTTACAAATCATACAACTAATTGGAAAACCAATGTCCTTTTCAATTATCAAATTATAATGTCAATCAATATTCAGCTGTATCTTGACTTTATAGTTATACTTTGGACATTAATTGTCAAATTGCCATGAGATAACGTTGATAAGTTCACATAAAAACCCACCCACTCATAATGTTGATTCAATGTTATTTGTGGCAACATGAATATGGATGGCGCCCCTTAAAAGTTTCTTTATGTATAATATTTTGAGGCTGGAAATTCTCAGAGGCATATAAACTATGAGAAACTCAAACATGTATCCAGTATCCTCAATGTATTCAGGGGATTGAGGGCCTGTTCATATGATCCCCCTTACCGGGACGTCTCGCTTAGCGATGATCTCGCCGCCTATCTATTTTCCTATAAAATTTTGCATTGTGTTCATATGAGAAAGCGAGCTGGCCCGCTTGCCAAGATCTCGTTTGAATTTGCTGAGATCATAGGTAGGCTGGATGAAAATTTTTCCATATGAACATGCCAGCCCTCTTACCGGGATTATGTCAAACAAGTATTGCCGGTTTAATTTAACACTTTTTACTTGGTTTTATGTTTGTTTTAAACTTCTAACTTCAAGAAAGAACAATTGCTGCATAACAGTGTTACCTGTGTCAAATTAGTCATTTGTCCAGGGCAGTGCAAAGAGATGTGCCATCTCGGCCTTAACACTAATTACACAGAAACTGAACCAGAAGCTGTTGTTATTCTCCCTTACAAATCATACAATAATTGAAGAGATGTGCCATCTCGGCCTTAACACTAATTACACAGAAACTGAACCAGAAGCTGTTGTTATTCTCCCTTACAAATCATACAACTAATTGGAAAACGAATGTCCTTTTGAATTATCAAATTATAAAAAATCTACCAAAAATATATATGTAAGTCTGAGAAAAAAAGGTTTATTAAAACTTCCAACTTATGTGCCATCTCGGCCTTAACACTAATTACACAGAAACTGAACCAGAAGCTGTTGTTATTCTCCCTTACAAATCATACAACTAATTGGAAAACCAATGTCCTTTTCAATTATCAAATTATAAAAAATCTACCAAAAATATATGAAAGTCTGAGAAAGAAGGGTTTATTAAAACTTCCAACTTCAAGAAAGAACAATTGCTGCATAACAGTACGTGTTACCTGTGTCAAATGAGTCATTTGTCCAGGGCGGCTAAGAGATGTGCTATTTCGGCCTTAACACTAATTACACAGAAACTGAACCAGAAGCTGTTGTTATTCTCCCTTACAAATCATACAACTAATTGGAAAACCAATGTCCTTTTCAATTATCAAATTATAAAAAATCTACCAAAAATATATGTAAGTCTGAGAAAGAAGGGTTTATTAAAACTTCTAACTTCAAGAAAGAACAATCGCTGCATAACAGTGTTACCTGTGTCAAATGAGTCATTTGTCCAGGGCGGCTAAGAGATGTGCCATCTCGCCTTAACACTAATTACACAGAAACACCAGAAGCTGTTGTTATTCTCCCTTACAAATCATACAACTAATTGGAAAACCAATGTCCTTTTCAATTATCAAATTATAAAAAATCTACCAAAAATAAGTAAGTCTGAGAAAGAAGGGTTTATTAAAACTTCTAACTTCAAGAAAGAACAATTGCTGCATAACAGTGTTACCTGTGTCAAATGAGACATTTGTCCAGGGCTTTTCAATTATCAAATTATAAAAAATCACCAAAAATATATGTAAGTCTGAGAAAAAAGGTTTATTAAAACTTCCACTTCAAGAAAGAACAATTGCTGCATAACAGTGTTACCTGTGTCAAATGAGTCATTTGTCCAGGGCGGCTAAGAGATGTGCCATCTCAGCCTTAACACTAATTACACAGAAACTGAACCAGAAGCTGTTGTTATTCTCCCTTACAAATCATACAACTAATTGGAAAACCAATGTCCTTTTCAATTATCAAATTATAAAAAATCTACCAAAAATATATGTAAGTCTGAGAAAGAAGGGTTTATTAAAACTTCTAACTTCAAGAAAGAACAATTGCTGCATAACAGTGTTACCTGTGTCAAATGAGTCTTTGTCCAGGGCGGCTAAGAGATGTGCCATCTCGCCTTAACACTAATTACACAGAAACTGAACCAGAAGCTGTTGTTATTCTCCCTTACAAATCATACACAACTAATTGGAAAACCAATGTCCTTTTGAATTATCAAATTATAAAAAATCTACACCAAAAATATATGTAAGTCTGAGAAAGAAGTGTTTATTAAAACTTTCAGCTTCAAGAAAGAACAATTGCTGCATAACAGTGTTACCTGTGTCAAATGAGTCATTTGTCCAGGGCGGCTAAGAGATGTGCCATCTCGGCCTTAACACTAATTACACAGAAACTGAACCAGAAGCTGTTGTTATTCTCCCTTACAAATCATACAACTAATTGGAAAACCAATGTCCTTTTCAATTATCAAATTATAATGTCAATCAATATTCAGCTGTATCTTGACTTTATAGTTATACTTTGGACATTAATTGTCAAATTGCCATGAGATAACGTTGATAAGTTCACATAAAAACCCACCCACTCATAATGTTGATTCAATGTTATTTGTGGCAACATGAATATGGATGTCGCCCCTTAAAAGTTTCTTTATGTATAATATTTTGAGCCTGGAAATTCTCAGAGGCATATAAACTATGAGAAACTCAAACATGTATCATATCCTCAATGTATTCAGGGGATTGAGGGCCTGTTCATATGATCCCCCTTACCGGGACGTCTCGCTTAGCGATGATCTCGCCGCCTATCTATTTTCCTATAAAATTTTGCATTGTGTTCATATGAGAAAGCGAGCTGGCCCGCTTGCCGAGATCTCGTTTGAATTTGCCAAGATCATAGGTAGGCGGGATGAAAATTTTTCCATATGAACATGCCAGCCCTCTTACCGGGATGATGTCAAACAAGTCTTGCCGGTTTAATTTAACACTTTTTACTTGGTTTTATGTTTGTTTTGTAAACAAGTATTAAATATGCACCTGACGCAATACATTTTCTTGTAAATAAACGAAGAAAAACACTAAAATCGCTAAGTATTTGTATTGCTCGACTGAAATGTAGAAGTTTTGCATACGCTAATTATAGAACTACAATGTAATTTCAACTCGGCAAGCGGGACGAAATATTCCATATGAACGCACGGAAATATTCGTCTC